CAGCGTCCCACCTCCAGCGTCCCACCTCCAGCGTCCCACCTCCAGTATCCCACCTCCAGCATCCCACCGCCGCTGTACGTTTGCTGGGACTTTATCTAAACCAAAGTGTTTCCACATATTTTTTCTCACCTGTGACATTTCTGCTCTTTGTTGGAGGAATGACTTCATATAACTAACCCAAAAAACGGATCTCATGCAGAACATGTCATCAAGTTGTTGTGAATGTAAACTTGATAAAAACGTGCAGGCGTCTGGCTGGTTGCTGCTGAGCTCCGTGATGTGGATGCAGTTCAGTGTAAGCCCACAAAATCAGCTAAATCTGGCTGCTCTGTGCCAAGACTTCACTCTTAAGCTTCCAAATACAGAAAACGTAGCAAACACAGAGGAATCACATCCATATGTATCTAATGTTTGCATTGCATTTTCATCATAGTGGGTCATAAACATTTCAGAAACAATTAATCTTCTTCCAAATAACCACATGCAGCTTCAGTGCTTGTACACCAAACTACTGGAAACCAACATGTGACGTTTAGTGTTCCTGTGATATATATATATATATACTGCACTATGACAACAACTCCATTCATTAATCAATCTAAAAAATACTGGCCTGATTTTATAGGACCATACCTGCTAAGAATGTAAAAAAAAAAGGTTTAAAAGGATAAAAAAGAAGCGAGTGTGAACCGTTTGGGACTTTCCTTATGCAGCGTAACACTGGCAAAGGAACCTGACTGTTGCTTTGAAGGACCTTCATATCTGACGTATCATTCAGAGCTTTGTGGCGCTGATTTAACGGGTCAATTGACTTTTGTCTGGTTTAATGTCAGATGGTGAGAAAGAAAAGGTTTGATGTCTGTTTATACAGTAAACTTCTGGTTTCAACTATATTTCCACACAACTGGCTGGAGCTGTGAGATTATGTCCAAAATGATTATATTGATTATTTTAATGAATATTACTACCATGTTTAGCACATTTATCACAATTATTCATTGATTTTAAACATATAAATAATCAGAGCATCGAGCGTCCATGTTGTGCTGCACTCCTGCAAATGTACAAATCTGCATCAAAATCAGGATTAAAATAATCCAGAGCATCTTCTAGATGCTAAATATAAATCAAATTGGACCCAAAAATGCTTCGCTGGCTGAACATCTGCTTAATAATGGACACTTGGATGTCCTGACGTTCCCTAAACGCCTCATGTGCAGCAGCTGAGAGACCAGAAGTCACTTTGAAAAGAGCAAAATAAGGAATTCTAGGGAGAGCACCAAATTACAGAAATAAATCAATAAAAGAATAATAAAGTAACAGTGGAAATAAAAATAGGAACAGATAAAATAACAAATAACTCATAAAATAAAGCAATATTAATCAAAAAGGAATCCATAAAAGAAAAGTCTGATAAAAGTAGAAATATAAAGACTAATAAATAAAATAATAACAATGGAAAAAATAAACAAATAAAATAAAAAATAATAAATAACTAAATAAATAAATGTAAAAAAACAAATAAAATTGAAATATTATTTTATTATTTTATTTATTTGTCCTTATATTTCTACTTTTATCAGCCTTTTCTTTTATGGATTCCTTTTTGATTAATATTGCTTTATATTGCCACATCATTTATTTGTTATTTTATTAATTCTTCTTTTTTATTTCCACTTTTATTTTATTATTCTTTTATTGATTTATTTCTGTAATTCGGCGCTCTCACTGCTCCATAGTTTGTATCCAGCAGCAAAACAAAAGTAGTGAAATGATGCATCTCAGTTGATCTTCCTCACTGCTGCACGTTGCAGCTCTGATCCTGACCCACAACAACAGAACTCCAGCAGAACCTTTAAGTTACAGGTAACTGGAGGTACCAGACTTCCTGCTGCATGTCCCACCTCTAGTATTATATGTGAACACATGCAGCGCCGCTCTTCTCAGGTCCGTATGTAGAGTTTGCAGCGTGCCAGCGGTGAACTGGAACTGTTATGTAAATGTGTGTAAGGCCTAAACACTGTACCATGCACCGCATACGACAATAATGTTAAAGCTGACGCACACAAAGTCACAGAAGCTGTTACATAAACAACAATTCCTGCTTTTGTCTGTGAGGACTAAGAGCACGTTAAGCTATTTGTGTATGTTTTATATATTAAACTCACATATATGTTTTAAGCCCTAAAGTCTCCTGATACACCAGAGAGATGAACACAAGACTGTAAATCAAGTTTCTTTTTAAATCCGCCTCTGATGCAGAAGAAGATCATTTCAACCACAATAAAAAACTGCATTTTGGGAACTGACTGATTTTTCTTTGCCTCCCAACAGATCGCTGAGGACATAAAGACTGTAATCTAGAGGAGAAAACACAACTGGTCTGTCAAGAAACCTCAAGTTAAATGTGAAGCTGTCAGTGATCATCATCGTGTCTCTTTCTGAGTCACACTCACACAGATGTGGCTCTAAGCTGTAAAGCTGCTTAGCTGCAGTCGGGCAGGCAGCTGCCTCAAAAACATCCTCTAATAAAATGCGTCACCTCTGCTGAGCGCGCTCGCACACGGCCGAGGTTAGCGGCCGACGGAGCAGCAGCAGCAGGAGCCGGACTCCCCGCTGAGGCCGCGCTCGCCAAATCTCCCACGGCACCCGAACGCCACACCCACACAGCAGGTAGCATCATCAGCAAATTAACACAAATCTCTGATAAAGCCGAGCGGCCGACCGACTGTCGCACGCAGTAAACACTCTGATTACACGACCACTAAAAACTAACCCAAACCGACTGCGCTCCTCCACAACACAGGTCATCAGGGAAACCTTTCTAACTTATTACTGGTTGAACTTAAAACTAAGGCTGCAGCTGCTTTTCTATCCATTGATCGAGTTGTCTTAGTTAATCTAGTTTGACAGACTCCATGTCCTGTTATAATGCAGCAAAACTACAAAATCCTGTTTAAATTGGCAACTCAATCAGGACAACAGCATTTACAATGAGGCTGATCGTTTAAGTCAGTGTTGAAACTCCAAAAGAAACCCAAGCTGCTGTTAAACCACAAAACAAAGTTCAATCTGTGAATTAGACAAAGAGCAAAAACCACAGACTGCAGCAGACAACACGACAGGTCAAGTTACGAACCAACCACTGACGGCAAATAAACGCAGACGGGATGGACACGAGCCAAAGTGTGGATGCCAGGAGTTAAATGAAATACTCTATATTCAATGTCTGTGTAAACCTGCTGCACAGAGCTGGTGTCAGACATCTAATGAGAGGCCTGGTCTGTTCTCCTCACTACAAGCACAGCAGCTGAACACTGCTGTCCTGTCCTACAGATATTCTGTGTTCGATGGAGCCACGATGTCAGAAGTCAAACACGATTCCAGAGAAGAGCGAGTGTCAAAAATGAGCTGAGTTTCTTTTTTACAGTGCAGCAGTCGACACATCTGAGCCTATCCCAGCTGACTCAGGGTGAAGGCAGGTTCACCTGGACAGGTAACCAGTCTATCACAGGGCTACACTTAGAGACAGACAACCAAGCACACTCACATTCACACCTACGGACAATTTACAATCACCAATTAACCTCAGCATGTTTCTGGACTGTGGGAGGAAGCCGGAGAACCCGGAGAGAACCCACGCTGCACGGGGAGAACATGGAGACTCCACGCAGGAAGATCCCGGGTGTCCTCACCGGGACGCCAACCGGTGACCTTCTAGCTGTGAGGCGCTAACGTTGCTAACCACCCGCAGCTCTGTGCTTTATCAGTTTTCTTTAAATACAGAAGAATCTGTGCAATATCGTGAGTTTCCACATTTGAGAGGAATCGGCTCAATACCTTGAATCTCTCCATGTAGAACGATCCCAACAGAACCTCTTGTTCATTTCATTTTTTACAGATGTCCACACATGTCTGCGTGATCCCCTCTGCTGCTGACCACCTCACTGCTGTTGGATTACTGTGGGATTGTCATAATCTTATGCTATAGCTCATTCTTCTTTGTTCTGATCAGAGATGGTTTCTGACTATTTAGGCTGAATTCATTTTGCTGCTCGAGTTTAAACTTCTATCAGAACCACCTGTTTTTGCAGAACAATGCAGCTCAAACCTCAGCATCGACACACTGAGACATGAAGTCAGCCCGCTTCTGTTATAGTTGATTTCTTGTGGCTGGATTATTAGGAGGAACTGGGGTTGTGCCTCAGGAAGGGGAGGCTTCAGCTGTGTCTTTGCTGTCTTGACTTGTGCATGTCGTGTGAATTGCACAAAAATAAAAGCAAAGTTTTCCAAAAATATCCAACTGTGGTTGAAAGACAAAGATTTTGGATTTATGTGCAGAAGGAGCGACAGCGTTAAAGCTGCATCTTTCTGTCTCCACCCGGTTTGTTCAGGTACCCGGAGGGCAGCAGCAGATAGAAGCACGGTGAGGAGAGCGGCAGCTGCAGCACTCTGAGCGTGTGTCTGGGGTTAACTGGGGTTATCAAGCTTAATGTGGACCGTCAGCATGTTGACAGTATTAACAGCAAAGGCTTTTAGATTACTTCTGTCCCAACCAGCAGCTTCAGATTGGGGATGGATTATGTGGTTTGCTTCAGTGAGCAGGCCTGTTGGAGGGCCACACTGTGCTGCTCTTCTACCTCCATGCGGTCGTGTTTGTACCTTGACGGGCTCCAAGGTGGCAGAGAAGGCATCCTGCAGAGCGCAGCAGGCCAACCTCCACATCTCCTCCGTGAACACTGGACCCACTGTGACCAGCACATACCTGGAGACACAAACACAACGACGGTGGTTAGATATAATCTGGGCCACTGTCACATCCAGAACACGAGCTGTTGGACACTTTGCTTTCCCTCAGAGCTCCCTGGCTCCTACTGACCATGTTAATCTTCTGGTAATCAGCCTGTTAACGGTTATTTGGTGGATCATTTAAGCAGCACAGCGGCGTGCGTGGCTCTGAGTGTGTTTGTGGTAATGAAGGAAGTCAATAACGTGGGTCACTGATGTACTCTTCATCCTGAGGTGTTCCCAGACCAGATGAGATGTGTAATCTCTCCAACAGTTCCTGGTTTTCACCCCAGGATCTCCTCCTGGTTAAATGTGCCTGGAAAACCTTGGATCAGATCCCCAGCCATCCTGCAGAGGGACCTGAGCTCTGCTGCTTGTATCTGCGATCTCATACGTCGGGTCACCACCACAGATGAAGGCTGGAATGTGGAACGGCCGGTAAATCGAGAGCTTTGCCTTCAGCTTCCTCTTCACTACGACGGTCCAGTAAAAACGCTGCATCAACAAGATACCAAAAGTTCTCTGTTTGGTGCAGAAACTCACTCCCTAACCTGGAAGCACTTCAACACGATGCATCTGCAGCTGGTTCTGGACGCTACCTGCTCTTTACAGATGGTATAAATACATACACAGCGTCGCCAGGCTTGTTCTTTAAGTCAGGAATTACTTCTTCAAAGAATTTACCTCAAGAATCTCAGAGCAGATCAGACACAAGGAAACGATTCTCTGGCTGACTGTGAATAAAACAGACACTGGCATGCAGAGAGCACAGAAACCAGACCTCGTGTTTCATGGTTTAGTTTGAGCAGCTACCAGGTAATGGTACCGAGTAAAGAATGAGGAAAAAAAAACACCAAAACAAGCAGCTGGAGGCTAAAACCGGCTAACAGCTGATTCAGACACTTTTCAGAAGTTATCATTAACCCTCTGACAAATTTCTCATCACTGTGGCCTCATTGTTCACTGTCATATAAAGTCCTGCATCTCTGTGGAAACAGAACCGTGTATGAGAGGAGAGAGAACCCGTCTTCTGTTAGAACAGCATAAATACAACATTGAAAGAACCTGGAATCAGCTCCTACCGACATGTTGGCACGAGAGGAGAACAGATTTTTATTTTGTTTTTGCAGAATCTGGTTACTGCAAGTTAATTAAGACCTGGAGAATAAAGTGATGCAATGTCATGATTTTAAGTTCAAATTTTAAATAAAAGTTTCTGTTTTCTCGACCACTTCCTTTCTGTAGTGATGATAAATGGTGTCATTTTGGGGTCAAACCTGGAACAGAGAGAGACGCAAACATTCCTGCATTTACAACGTTTCCACACTTGAGGTCCACGTGGTGTTTAACTGACAGACGAGTGGTCACCTGATGCAGGAGCAGCCCACTCTGGAGATGGTCTCTGCCGGCTCGGACACGCAGGCCACCAGCAGCTTGAACAGATCCTTCAGCATCAGGTTGATCAGCGACTCGTAACCGATGTCTGCAAGGAGGGAGGCCGGAAACACAAACACGTTACACAAGCACGCCACGACGCCACAACAGAGCCGTGACGAGGCCCCGGTTTAATCTGACTAAAGAGCAGGACGGTGGAACAACAAGTCATCAGCCACGCTCCAGTTCCCGTCCATGAATGAGTCACATCATACAAACAACAACTCTTCATGAGATCGGTGACAGCGGACCTTCACTTCAGAGGGTTTTATCTCACGTGTGGCAAAATAAAATCATCTCAAGGTTACAATTTCAGACAGTGTGACAGCATATCGGGGCAACTGCAGGTAAAGAAAGAGAGAAAATATGAAGCTGATATCGCAGAAAAAGTCACAAACTTACAGGAAAAAAACATAAATATAAAAACACTGGTGGCATCTGATATGTCTGAGCTGTAATGATCATTTTTTCCTTAAAAAAAACACATGACGTTTTTATAAATGTATGGCTTCAAAGAGGCCAAACGTGGCACATTTCTAGGTTCATGCTCCTGTTTCTGGGGCCTCCTATCACATGCTGACATGCTTTATAGTTTAAAACACATGGTTCTGTCCTCATGCTGCACATTGCTGCAGCGCTTCCTCTCTGCCTCTATCTGAGATGCTTCAGCTCCTTTAGGCCTCGCTCTGAAAAAGCTGCTGTGATTGGTCAGCTAGCACAACCAACAGCGGGCTAGCCTGGGTCTCTAGCAGGGAAATAACAGCAGACTTTGGGGAAGCTGCTCATTTTGTAATTGAGGACCAAATCAGCTGCTAGTCAGGCCGTATGTGTTATACAGTGATGTAGATAAGTAACAGAGGAAAAGCCTGGACTCAAACGAGGCATTTCTGAAATGTTTTCTTTTAAGTAAAATGGAACAAATATGCTGCACTGAAAGTTTTAGGGACAGCTTTAAGAGTTTTGAAGAAACAGGGAGCCTTCAACCTTTCAGATGTGGCCTTATCAGTGCAAACATTACTAGTTTTAATGCAGCACTTATCTGAAGAAAGCAGCAGCAGTTAGTTTCGTGTTCATCATCGATCAAAGCAACAAGTTGGTGGTGACGTGGAGCAACGTCTGCTTAACTTGTTGGGATTTTAGGCATCAGACTTTCCAGTGAATCATCGAGTCACAGAGGGGGAACTTCAGGGACTGATCAGGGTCGAAGCTGTGAGCTGTACCGGCGACTCACCGGAGTGTATGAAGCTGTTGACGTGCTCCACCACCAGCTCACACGACAGGCCGATGGCGTGCTTGAAGTTCGCCGCCGCCACATCCCAGTAGGAGTGGTCGCCATGGCTACGCTGCAGCCACAGCGACATGACGGGAAGCAGCAGCTGGATGACGGAGAAGATGGCGAAGCCCGGACCTGGAGGGACGGGACGGAGTTACTCTACATATTTACCAGCGCTGTACGGTTTGTGTGCAGCGACAGAACCGACACCGCTCTCCTGACGGGGTGCGACACCGTCAGATCCACAGACACTGACAACATGGCCTACCTGGTACCGTGGTGACCTCTCTGAGCAGCGTGAAGAGCAGCTCCAGGGTCGGAGGCTGATGCTGTCGAGGGCAGTTTGAAACCGCCGCCGTGAGCTGCTCCAGCAACAGAATCCACACCTGGATCAAACCTGCAGGACGGAACAGAACAGAGCTGCATGAAAGAAACAGGACAGCGAAGAGCAACGCTGGAGACAGATGAAGAGAGGACGAGCAGGAACGCGTCTCAACCTGTGTCATCGTCGAACTCCTGCAGGACGCAGTCCATCCCGTCCTCGCTGCTGATGGAGCGTTCCTGCGATCGCATCGGCAGGCTGGCGAGCCGCGCTCCCAGGAACACCGGCTTGGACGGCATCTTGTAGATCTTTGCGAGCAGCTGTCAATTAAACACAGCGCAATCAGAATCAGAAAGCTTCTTATTGCCAAGTGAGCTCGTACACACAAGGAGTAAATATAGAATAGAATAGAATAGAATAGAATAGAATAGAATAGAATAGAATAGAATAGAATAGAATAGAATAGAACAGAACTTTATTGATCCCTTTGGTGCAAACCTCAGGGAAGTTGTTGTACTAGAAAACAACAACACAACATCAGCAACAATAGTATCTAGATAATAAATAAAGAAAAGTATAAAGTACTACGTAAATAAAAAGTACCGTGACAAGAGACATAAACTTTCCTAAACCAAGTAATAAATTAGGAAGCAGTTTAAACGACAGTATTGCACATGTAATGGTGATGCACAGAGGTAGAGCAACAGGAGTCTGTAGTGATGAGTGGCTGTTCATGAGGGATACGGCCTGATCATCAAAAAGTCATTAATAAAATCGTGTGAATCTGCCTCTGCTATTCCAACAGTCACTAAGGCACTCAGCACTGATCTCATACTGTCACTTATTGGGACTCAACAAGAGGAAAATGTGTCGCTGGTTGGGCTGAACACTAATCTAGACATTGTGCAGAACCCTGAGGGACGACCTGATGCAGTCTGCAGAAGAACTGGAACAACACAATGACCTGAACAACTCTCATGTTCATTCAGCTGATGGTTCTGCTGTCGGCGTGTCTGCTTTAGCGCCGGCGGAGCTCCTACCTGCGAACACTTGCGGAGGTAGTCGAGGGCAGGCAGGCAGAGGTCGGTGGAGCTGTAACCTGAAACATGGACACAGTCCCCGATCTCTTTATAGTCCACCTCTCCTGCACACAGGCAGACATCACAAAGGAAACAACAAATAAAGACCAAAAAAATGCAAAAACCCCCCTTTTTTTTTGTTAGAATAGAAAGCAGCAACAAAACCAAGTGATAGAAAACGTCTGTGACATTTGTACTGCGTTTGATGAAACATGCTGAGAATCTCTGAAGCTAAAAATTAAAAATTAAGCCGCACAGAACATTAAAAAGTTGTTGCAGCATTTGGCCACACATTCATCAAATCAAACTGCAGCATCGAAACTCAAAAAAGATGAAACATTTCCAGAAAGCCTGAGCCTGTGAGAGCAAACTGAACGCTTCTGAACATCCTGTTACGTCCTGAGAATGTGACATAAACACAACCTGTACATGATGCATCTCACGGCTGATTCCAGGAAGAGTGACGTCCGAAACTAAACTAAACGGCGAGCACAAGCGAGACCAACCCAAGCCTTTGACGAACTTCATGAGGCACATGATGTAGTCGGTGGCAGCGTTGGCGAAAACCTGGATGTTGTCGGTGTTGATGAAAGCCTCGAAGACGTCGAACACCGGCGCCTGGGACTTCCCTGGAGGAAAACACGAGAGGAGGGCAGGAAGGCTGGTTGGTACTTTGGTTATTTCCTGCACTAAAGAGGCTGCCAACGTCTAGAGCTGTCAGGTGATGAACGTTTTTAATGAAATGTGGTTCTCAGTCGTACCCATGGAGTATTCTCCCAGCAGGTAGTCCTTGGTGTCGGTTTTGCTGCCGTGGACGGTCCTCAGAGCGCTGAACAGAGGCCTCCACCCAGACAGGATCTGAGGAGAGCACATCTCCACCAGCTCTCCGATGGACGTGATCACCTGCAGGGAAGCAGGCAGAGAAACACCTTCAGAACTGCATCGACTCGGCAGTTAACTGAGGAGATGTGCTGTGTGGGGCGACTGGACGTCACCTGGTCCTGCACGTCCTCGTCGCACAGCTCCAGCTGCATGATGTGCTCGAACGGCCTGAAGAGCGCCTCGTTGAAGTGGAAGTGTGGAAGCTCCGCCCAGCTCGTCAGCACCTCCGTCAGGACGTCGTGGATGAAGGAAACGGCCTTCTGGGACACGTGGCGCTCTTTGTGACACGCAGCCTGGGAGAAGGACAAACCTTTCAACCTTTGTCCAGATGAACAGAAGCTCTGAGCTATTCGTTCACACACATTACAGCCTCCCAACCGACAGCATTTTGAGCACATTCCTAAAAAGTAACTGCTGTGCTCTCATCTTTCATACAAATCAATATTACTGATGGTATTTATCAGGTAGATCTGCTGCTGTTTGAGCAACAGGAAGATAACAACTGAGCAGAAAGATGGGCAGAACAGAGGAAGAGGAGGATGCAAGAAGACAAAACGTGCTGCACAAAGATGTTCAAACTTCATCTGAACAACATCTCCATGAGAGCAGCAGGTTAACAAACTGGTTCGTATAAACGTAACAGCTGTACCTGTAAAAACACTGTTCTACATGACAGACACTGTTTAAGTTGCTGAGTTTGAAGTAGGCGACATGATTCACTCAGATGTTGACTTTTATTCTACTTCAGCTGAGAACAGCTGACTTCTTCACACCAGTCTGGACCGTAGCTGTGGTCAGGTGTACAGTGCCTCACCTCCACCAGGTGTGGCGCCACCACGCTCCAGGCCCTCATCATGTGCAGCAGAGGGCGGCTCTTGTTCCTGACGATTCGTAGCATGGCCTCGCCGAGCCGGAAGAGATGGAGGGCGCTGCGGCGGTCCGACGTGGACTTGGCCTCTCCTACAGACACACCAAGTCTCTGTTCAAGTCTCACTCAAGTCTCTGTTTAAACTAACAATCAGTAGACATGGAACAGAAACCTCAAACCAACATTCAGGATTGTGCTTAATCATCATTATTTTAGGGGGTAAATATGACATATAGATGCATTTATTCAGTATTAATTACAGCAACACACTTGCTAACTTAACTACATGTTCCTCTACGATAACAAACATGTTTGACGTGTTTTCATAGAAACGATGTCGGTGTCTGCTTATAAAGTCACATTACGGCAGCCCGGCTCTGTTTCAGGGACAAACAGAAGGCCTCCATGCCGTGTGTTCTTACCCGGCATTGCCAGTGAATAGTCTCCGGTCTCAGTAACGGAGTCGAACAGCTGCGACTGAGAAGCTTTTCTCAGCTGCTGCAGGAAACCGACCAGACCGACCAGGTTGAGCTTCGTAGCTGCTTCTTCAAACAGCCTGAAACACACACACAGAGCGTCGTTGCATTCAAGTGAGCATCTGCAGTAGAAACGTAGCTTCAAGCTTTTAATCCTCTGAACCTGAAGCAGTCATCTTTTGCTCCTGCTGCATTTCTCCTCATTGTGGGCTCAGTTTTCACTGCAGCATTAAGTTCAGAACAACCATGACTAGAAGGAGAGAGGACTCAGACATGTCTTCTGTGCAGCAGAATGCCAGAAATCATAAAAACAAAAAACTAAAGATGATTTTTTATTTATTGTTACTTATGCAAAAATGGAAAAAGGCTGGAATGAAGATGTGTCCGTAGGTGTTGTCAATACTGGAGGGAAATGGTGGCTCTAAAAACAACAGATATTTTACTACTTAGTCGTTGTTTCCATCATTACCTCCTGCTATCTGCTCTGTGTACACAGCCTGCAGTTCAGCCTACAATCTGAGCGTTTGGAGTTCAAAGTGTTAAAGTAAAGATAAAGTGAGATAAAGGTCTGTAAAATGTCAACAGCTCACAATAACGTACACTTCTGAGCATCACACAGACATAAACACGGCTACGCAGGCCGACGGCAGCACAAGCGGAGATGACAAAAAGTTGTCGTGCAAGAAAATGTCCAGTATTGTGAGTGGATCATACGCCGTCCCTAAGAACAGAAGAAGATTAAAGATTCAGGGCAGAAAAAGGGCGGATTGAGGTCCTGCTGGTGCTAAAGGCTGTGACGGACACCTGCCCTCAAAAACTCTGATCCTGTGTCAGAAAACTTTATCTGCTGCCCGCGAGCACAAAGCAGAGGATTGTGAGGATTGGTCGGCACGCAGATTATTGTTTCTATAAACTCTGGGCTTATCTGACTATTGTTAGCTAACATTTTACACAATGTTCTATTAATATGCAAACAAAGGACGAACCCATCCAGCTCAGAAATGGCAGCAAGGATTTACAAACAACGTGAGATGTGCGCTGATTAAAACGGTCGACCGTGATCTCGTGACCAGCGATCATCTCCACGCCTAAACACACCTGAACGTTCAGAGCAGAACAAAGTTTCAGCGGCGTGGCCCTTTAAGCCGGCGGCCCGGTGCAGGAGTATTTACAATGTTTTTGGCACTACTGTCAGCTTGTAAATGTGTTCAGTCCATCTGTTCCAAAAGATCAGAGGGAACATCTTTTTTTTTTTATTCGCCCCTAAAAGCAGCCTAGATAACTGCTTACGTAAGAGATGATCCTTGGAATAAACACACGCACCGACTCCATGTTTACTGCAGCGCCTTCTGCCTGTCTGTGCTGCTGGAGCGCTGAGGCACAAACACACGCGTGTGTCTGTATGTTTACATGTCTGTATATCTGTACGTGTGTGAGAGGGCTGAAATGAGCTGAAACTTATATTTAATTGAACCGATTCCGACTCCTCGAGCAGCTCTTTGAAGATGACGACACAATCTGTCCTCTTTTTACATGTCTCTGGTTCTGCTCTGCTGGTTCTGCTCTGCTGGTTCTGCTCTGCCGGTTCTGCTCTGCCGGTTCTGCTCTGCCGGTTCTGCTCTGCTGGTTCTGCTCTGCTGCTGCCATCTCGTGGCTGTGAAACGTCACAGTGACCTCCTGCGGAGCACCAACTGCCAGTGAAATGTAGTTTTGTGGGATAAATTCATTAAGAGTCGCCGCCATGCTGACTGCTAATTAAACAAGGTGGCAACAAGGAAGAGAGACATTTTATTGGGCTGTTAGGCCTGAATTAAAACCTGAACCCGCTGTGAGACCATTATTCTGTTGTGTATAATCAGTTTACTGCACACATTATCTAAAGGCTGCTGTGTGCTTCTATATAATGTAATTTACTGAAGATCACATCCACTCAGTTTGGTGGGAAATACCTTCATGTTGACATTGACAGTTATAGCGACAATATTTTTCTATCACTGCTCAAATTTTCATTAAAAAAAAAGGCATAGTTAACATTGTAATATGTTTATGTAAAATATTTATCTAAAACAAAGATCCACTCAACATATATGCATGTACCTCTTCTTCTTGTTGCTGATTTATCTACCAGTTCTTTCCCCAAAACAAGTTTATAAAATGATGCCACAGCTGAAAAAAAGCTCGTATTAAATCTCAACTAGAGTTCACCAGGAGGTACGTGGGAGACTCTGAAGTGGACTGGAGGATGCTGTGTTTGCTGGACTTCACCACAAACATCCCCACTGTGAAGCACGGCGGTGGCAGCATCATCAACTGAATAAAACACTTCTACACATTTAGATCATGTGAAGCTACATTTCTTCCAGTCGTGGGAGCAACTGTGGGCAACTGGGAAAATGTTGTAGCAGTGAGTTGTTGCTGCAGTGAAAAATGAGCCCACAGTGAGAAGAAAATGGGACAAAAAAAACTGCTCAGAGTTCAGAGTTACCATGTTTCTATCAATAATCAAACATAAACCTTGATGTAAACGTGTTTAAATGCTAATAAACATATTTACAATAAAACTCTGATCTCAGCAGCGTGTCTCCGGCCTACCTGTCGGCTTGTGTGGACAGCGTGCACACAGCCTTGGCAGCGTTGTTTCCCGTCATCAGGCTGCCGCTCTTCAGGTCCAGGCCTCGGCCTCCTCGGCTGCGCTCCCTCAGCAGCTCCTGGATGGACAGCGGCTGGATGACCGGCTGGCTCAGGCTCAGCTCGGCCGCCTCGGGGCTGGGCTCGCAGCTCAGCTCCAGCCCCAGGTCGATGCCGGCCGACTGCTGGCTCTGCTGGGTGATGGTGGTCAGGGAGGACGGCTGCGAGGAGCCGTCGCTGAAGTGTGTGTGCTCCAGAGAGCTGATGTACTCGGTCACCCTGAGAAAGATTTATAGGTTTACAACACATCCCTCATACCTTTAAATGAAGCCGTTTGGGGGAAACCTGCTGTCTGCTAGTGTGTGAGTTTAATAATCCCATTGCAAGTGCTTGAAAAGTTCCACTTGTACATTCAGATTTTTTTACTGACGAGGACACTGAGCCTGTACAAAACTATTCACACATTTTGGGAGATTTGCCCTTTAATTCCTGGCTACAAGCTTCAGCAGCTGAGATGGGAGAGACTCTGCTCAGCTTTATGGAAGAGTGGCAAAGAGAAAGCCACCTGACAGAGCTGAAGCAGATTTGCATCGAGGAATGGGCTAAAACTTCAGGCTGAGTGAGACCCATCCACACCGGGTCAGTGCAGCAGCTCAAGAAGCATCTTCTATAAACTGACTTGAATGGAGTGAAGACCGATGCAAAAGCTCATTTAACATTTTATTATTATTAGTCAATTGGCATTACTTTGCAGAAAACATTACTTTGACATCAAAGAGTCTTTCTTCTTCTCATCAAAAAAGCCAGATCGTACAGACCATGACTCATCGTTGAAGAGCAATAAAAGCAGAAAGCTACCAGCGGGGGTGAATATGTTTCATAGCCTTTCATAGCCGATGCAAGTTTCATGTGTGAGCGTACCTGAAGACGTGCGGCCAGCAGTCGTGGTTGTGGCTGCCCATCTCCAGCCCGACGTTCAGGATGGCGTCCATACACAACACGTGAGCTGTGTGGAGACGAACTCCCTGAGGACGGCCGATCTGCTCCAGACGCTGCTCAACACGCTGCTTCACTGGACGCACAGAGGAAGGAAAAACGATGAACCCTCGTGAGAAATGATGTTTTAAAGGCTAGAAACGAGCTCAAGCTATATTTAAAACAACTGACTGTTTAATTACGAGCTTAAAATCTGTCAAACTTTAATATCGACTTTGCTTTTTCGAGAAATAAGATGATTTTTGAAGGAGATGAGCTCCTTGTAGTTCCCCACAGCCGCCCCTAGGTGTCACTAAAGGCCCATGTCTTCTTTTATTAAACATGATTCCGTCTGTGTTTTTGGTGTGTGTGTGTGTGTTTGTACACGTTTATGAACTGCTTTGTAATAAAAATGCACGTTGCTGTCAGCACCTTGTGTAATAGTGTCTCCGGTGTCTCCAAGCTCCTTCTCCTCCTTCTCCTCCTGCACACAGGAGGCTGCAGCCATCTGGGCTAAAGCTGACGCACAGTTGGCAGCAACACCTGACAGACACGGTGCAAACATGTGCCGTGTTATTCCATTAATTAATCAAACATAGGATGGTTGAAATCAGACAAATGTACACCAAACGATACGATACAACAGAGTCACACTCATCAGCACATCATCAGGGCACGCTCTAATGCACACTGTCACACCCACTCTAGATTCTCATCCAGATTTCGACTTTCAGAATTAGACATTTATCAGATTTACACTCTTCTGTGTGTCCCAGTGTGTTCCAGCAACTGCTCATAGTTCATAGAATCAGACTTCTGAAAGAGGTTATGGGTGAAGCTTCATCTCTCCAGATGTTCTCTGTAAAAGCTGAGGTAGAAGGTGTGCATGAACCTTAACCTCCTGTTAACCTCCCACAGAGCTGCAGAGTCCAGCAGCTACTGAGCAGCTGTCACTTGTAAAAGTGCCAAATTTAATTAATGCGAAGCTGAGGAGGAAAAACATTTCTGCATTTAGCAAAAGCTCAACTTGGCAAATTTATATTTCATGTAGGTCAGAAACATTCAGTAAAAGTTTAAACCCTCTGAACCCGAAGCAGCTTCTGGGTTTTTATTGACTGCCGTCACGTTTACTCACCGTGGGCTCGTTTTCACTGCGACATAAAGGAAACAGCACAACCATGACTAGAGGTCCAGAAATGTCTTCTGTGCACAACAATAAACCAATAATTATTTTTTTAAAAAGGGAAAATGAAAGTTAATTATATTGATTATATACAGTCTGTATTCAACACGTCCATTAAAGAAAATCTAAACTCACAACAGTCACTCAAATAACTAGAAACTGAAAAAAGTAATAATAAATAAAAATGTGTTAAATTATAATTTAGTGAATTAAGACGTTGCTTTTGAATTGTGGTTGAAAAGAATAATTTAAAAAAACAAAAAATGGACAAACTAGAGGCCTTTGCTGATGAGCAGTGGTCCAGAACACCTGTCAACAGGTGCACAAGTCTGACTGAGAAACACCTGATGGCTGTGATTGGCTCAGAGGGTTGTTCAGCTAGACAGTAGTTCACAGGTCCATCAGGCTGGTTTGATTGTTTGTTTGTTTGTTCTATATATTTATATTTCTGCTGAACCACAATTCAAAAGCAACGTCATGATTTTAATAACATTTTTATTTATTATAACTTTTGGCAATTTCAGCCTATTTCAGTGACTGAAGTTGTTTTTTCCTTCTTTAATGGGAGGGCATGAACACATCTGAGAAGTGTGTGTATATATATATATATATATATGTATATGTATATAGTGTCCCCAGATGTTACTAATTCTGGAAAAACAAAAGAAAAAGTGACGCTCCACATAATATTTTAGGACTTAGTATTATATATTTTTTTAACATCCCTTTCAAAGCCACTGTGGGTTTTGTGGTTCAGAGGGTTAAGCACATATGTGTGTAGTTTATGTGAACCGTACATGCATCAGTTATTCAGGTTCACTGAATTTCTTTTCAAGGATGAGCTTCAGACTCCTGACGGGCCAGATGGAGCAAATCGCAGCAGATTCCATGTGTCAAGTGTCATCTGCACTTCATCTGTGTGACTAAACTTCAGAAGCCTCTGAAACATGTTATTTACTGTCAGTTAAAGTGTCCATAAACCCTCACAGGGCTTCTCAGTTATTCTGGCTAATTAGCCCTCTGCTCCGACTGGAGCTGAAGCAGCGCTGAGAAACACATGAGGCCAGCAAAGCGCTAACGAGAGCAGCAGCAGGGCTCCGTCTCTCCACTCTCCTGCTGCATATGTGCATTCATGTGGCGCGCTCAGCATCCCAACCTAGTTAGTGAGGAGTCGAAGGGTTAAACCATGTGACAGCTAGTCCTCCCTGCTGCCCTCATCCCTCCACCAAGCCTGTGTGCAGGCTGCACAGAGTGTAGGAGACGTGAGCTCTGTTGTATTGCCTTCTAGCTTCATTGTCAGCGAGAGCATAATGAGCGAGATCTCCATCAGCATCCCAGGTGATGGGAGGGTCCTGATTATAACGGAGAACAGCAGATATGTTCCCTCCTTAACAGAGTAGAGAGGACTTCACACTGGGACAGTTCCTCATGAACAGGTTCAGCGTGACTGAACAGGTGCTACAGAGCTAACAGGACATGCAGGTAGACGTCAGGTCAGCACAGGTTCTGCAGATTCTGAGAGTAATCAAACGAAACAGGAGAACACCTGAGTGGGAGGAACTTAAACCCTCTGAACCCCCAAAACCTGCAAGCTGGTTTAAAAGGCATGTCATGTTTGTCATTTATCAGTCAGAAAGTGTAAAAATCATTTTTTTTTTAAAAAACATCAAACGTTGAACTTTCCGACAGCCTTCAACTGCTCACATGTGACGTGCATTCAGTTGGTAAGTTCACTATAATGTTACAGAAATCACTTCATCCTACACGTCTCAGTGAGAATTTCATCCAAAATAAAGTGTTTACTTTGACCAGATTCTGTAAACAAACAAACAAACAACAAAAACAAAGCAGTCACACTTTTCTGTGACTCAGCTACAACCAACAATCACAAAAACTCTGGACCGAACCGGGCTGAACCGCACAGATGAGAACACTACGGAAACTTTCCCCTTTTTCTTTTTTGGTATTTTATGGCTTTATAACTTAATTATACAGCAGTTCTCTCTCCTTCCAGTCACGACTGTTTCCACAGAGCTGCAGGACTTTATCTTGCAGTGAAAATTGAGCCCACAGGGAGGACAAATGTGACAGGAGCAGAGAAGCAGCCAAAAGCTATTCTGGGTTCAGTGGATTTAAACTCTTGCACAGTACTGTATGTTTTTGTGTAAAAATAATGCAAAGCTTCTCTATTTAAATCCAAAGTAAGTCTTTATTTTGAGTGATGCAGAGAACTCACTTTGTTTCCTATTTGCATTGCAGTTCTTCATGACAAAACTCCCAGAGCTCAGGAGGTCACATCAGTGTGTTGATCAAAAAGATTTATGGCTGCAGAAAACAAAACATGTTTTCTATGTTGAAGAATGTGAACTTCTCCAACAAGGTGGAGGTTCAGCTGCTGTCTACACAGTGTTCGTCCTTCTAACTCAAACCTGAATATGTTCCAGCTGCAGGGCTGATGTTCAGTGTCTGATCCTGGTCTCTGACTTCTCTGTGTTCAAGGAAAGTAGAACAAAAGGCTCCCCACAGGGCTGAGCGATGAGCCTCATTGTTCCTGTTAAAACCAACACATGAACATGCTTCACCCACCCAGAGCGCAGCTGAGCGCCGCAGCTTTACGGAGGCCGTCCAAGCTCAGACAGATGGTGTCTCTCTCCCGCTGGCTCTGCTCTTTGACCCCCTCTGCTCCCAGGATGAAGGCCAGGCCCTTGGAGCTGCCCGCCATGCGGCCCGTCAGCGGCGTGGACAGAACATCGATCAGGTTCTTCCAGACACCGGTGAGGATGAAGCGCGAGAACACGGCTCCTGGAACACACACACACAGAAACACTGATGCTATATGTAGGAGCTCTGTTTGAAAAGTGGACCATCCTGCAGGTTCACCGATCAGCAACAACATACGTAATGCACCTTTAAAGGTTCCAGATTTTATTGTGTTTTGTGAGCCTTAAAATGAAAGCTGTGATAAAATGCACCACCACACCTCAAGGCTAACCTGACAAAGCCAGTAATCATCCAGCTAAAGATTAGCATAGCCCCGCCCCCCTCGCTGCTTCCAGGTGAACCAATCAGAACGAGCAGCTGCCTCAGAGTGCACCAGGTTTATTTACCGTCTACAGCTGCTTTGGCTAAAATGTTTGAGCCACAGAAAAAGCTCACGAAATGTTCTGCAGCTAAAGTGAACACAACAGTATTTATGCTCTCCCAGCATCTGAGGGACTGAAGACCAACTGGATTTATTGTTTGATGGAAATCAAACAGGAAGATTCATACTGTGAGCTCATTGTGTCTGTAATGTTGGCTAATGTTAGCATTAGCTGTGATGCTCCGCCCACAGGTCAGAGCTCCATGGAAACAGTCAGAGGAAAACTGAGTTAAACCAGTAACCAGGGACTGGACGGGTGTTTTGCATGACACCTAAACTCATGTGACTTCTGTTTGCTTCTCTCTTGCTCTCTGTGCTCACACAGATGTTTTTAGTATCTTTTGCTTTTTAGCAGCTGGATTCCCAGTAAAGCTGTTCTCCTTTACAGGACGTTCTGTCTCCGTTGTCAGACAACAGAACAAAAACGCAGCTCATTAAGACTACATCGTAACCAGCGGCCACTTGAGAGAGTTAAAATAATGACAAACTCGGGAAACACACGAATAACAAATAACAGCTGTGAGTTCTGAGATCATCTCCACGTCAGATGATTGTCAGCTGCTGTGAGGTCGATGGTGTCAGCAGAGGGAGTCTTCTTCCTGAAGGGGACAGTCACGGAAAAACCAACCAGCTAGAAAGAACAATGTGGGGACATGTGGGACTGGAATAAGGACCTTCAGAGCGTCTGTAGCTGATGTCAGGAAGCTACAACATCCAGTAAAAAACAGCGTTCAGTCAGCTCTGCACTCCGAGATCTCAACAGTTTACACAGCGAGTAGCTGGAGAGGCGGTGATTCAGACAAACAGGAGCTCCGGTGCTTTGTACACACTCAAAAAGAACATCAGTGTCATCGTGGGTGACTCAGCAGCGGTTGCCATGGCGATGCCGGCCAACCCTTAGCGCTCCAGGGGGATGCTGGAGGAGCGCAGGTGGTCCCTGACTCATTTTCTCCACGTCTCCGGCTGCGTCCGGCCTCTTTCTACCCGTCCACTCTTTGATTTTTCACTCGCTGTTTGGCCTCTTTTCTTCCTCGGCGCCGTCGCATCGAGGCCAGCTGGTTTAAAATATGTTGTCGCAGCTACAGACAGACATTTTCATTCATGTTTCAAAGGGATGAACACAGTCGGGCACATTTTAACGAATCTGAAGCAGTGTTTCAGGGGCAGCCAGTAACCAACAAACAGATCAAATGGGACTAAAAAACATCTCATCAAACCCAAAGAGAGAATAAAAAGTTCAGGTCTGTGTTGTCGTAGCTCTGCTCTGCTGTTGCAACGTTTCTGGAAATATTTCACCACATTTACCACTTGGGGGTAACCGAGCAGCGAGCAGCGAGCAGCAGCACCATGTTCCCGGTTACATAACTGTGCAGTCGGATATAAAACTCCCTGAATATTCATCTGTTATGGCCTCGCTCATCTGTGTCCTTTTACTTTTCACGGCATCACACAAAAAAATAATGAAAAAAGAGCTGGAACATTTGTCCATGCAGCACTCTTGTGGGATGCTTCACCTATCAGCGCGCTGCCAGAGCAGCGTTTTGAACTGATTAACACAGCAGCAGCAGCTCGGCAGCACTTTCTGGGTAAGTGAACTCCATTTAGAGAGGGTGAGCTGATTCAGAGGCTCCGAGGAAAAGCTGCTCGGCTCCGAATGCACCGCAAACACGAGAAATCTCTGAATTAAGAGGGTCTGACCTGCAATAAAAACGCAGCTGCTGACGGAGGAGAACTAAACGTTCATTACTTTCGCAACACAAATCTTCTCGTTGCTGAAGGAGAGAAAATTAGCCGAGCCGAGGCTCAGAACGATAAAAAACCCAGTTTCAGTTCTGTCACAGCAACGATGAATTCATGCATGTATCTAGAGCTCATATTTCACGTGTACATCGGATGTCTGCGGCTTTAGAGCAGCGTTCTGACCTGCCATCGCTGTGTCGCTGCTGGCCTTGTCACAGCTGAGAGGCGATTGGCTGGTCGCTCTCCTGATCAGCTGACCTCCGATCGCACTGCTGCCCAGACCGTCGATATCTGACAGAGGAGGAGGAGATAAGAAGACATGGTGAAGCTGTGAATCACTGTGACGATCACAGAGGATGTCTGTTTCACTTTACAGATCCTGGATACAGAACACAATCAAATACAAAAACATGAAATATAGTAAAAGATAATATGCACAAGTGTAGCCTATGAATACATCTATGATCAAACACAGAAACACAGTGGCCTACAGGAGAGACAAGGTGCAGCTGGATGTGAACATATGTGCAGATTTAGTATATAAAAAGAGATTCTGTAAGTATTAAAGTGATCATAGAGCTAGAACATGACAAACACTGATGACTGATATATTAGTTTTGTTTATATAATTAACTTTATGTCAGACTAAAATAAAAGAACACTCTAGGATTCCTATTTTTTGTGTCATTTCTGTTTTTTTGTGCGTGTTAAAGCTCTGAAAACTCAATTGGTCACAACTAGCATGGCTTCTCAGTTGTGTTGAGGACGTTTTTTTTGTGTTTTTACAGATTCTGGTGAGAGCAAACGGTTTATCTGTGGATAAGTTTCAAATACGACATTAAGTCTGATTAATAAGACAGAAATTTGGGTGAAATATCATAATTCTAAGTCTACAGAAACACACATCCTGCAAATCTTCCTGTTTTTACAGCTGCAGGATCTGATAATCGGTGCAATTCGTGCTAGTTTTTTGCAAGATAGCATATCTTTCGAACCCTCTGACAAGTTTTGGGGTTTAGAGAGTTAAAGCATGCAAACATAATCTGTAAATGTGCATCATATGGTTTCTTGATTTCTGAAATTACTGAGAGCTTTCATTTAAAAACACTTCCCTCACAGAACAGGTGTTAAGTTCTTCCCTGCAGGTGAGTGTAACTCAGTAACATCACCTGTGCGTTCCTACCTGTGAGCATGGTGATGAGCGGCAGCGTGTGGTCCTCCGGGGAGCCCCAGTACCCGGCCTCGCCCAGCAGGTTGCGCTCCAGCACCTGGTGGTAAAGCTCCTCGATCCAGGCCTGCGACAGAACCACGAGGACCCCGCTGCTCTGGATCAGACGCACAAACTCCTTCTGCACAACAGGAGCACAGCCACACGTTAAACGGTTTCATCCACGGGGCAACACTCGGGCAAGATCCTCCTGAGTTCTGCCCTCACCAGGCTGAGGACGGGCGCGAGCGCTCGCCGTCGGTAGTAGTCGCAGCAGCAGAGCTTGAGGTTGAGCAGCAGAGCGTAGTAGGACACCAGGTAGAGGCCGTCGGCGTTCATCAGAGACTGGCAGCTCAGAGTGTCGCCGGCCTCGAAGCCCGGAGAGTGAATCCCACCTGAGGAGGACAGGGAGGCACCAGGGGTTAACAGTGTCATTAGCTAGAACAGAGTGTCGCACAGAAAGAGGTCAGGACGCTACATAACGAGGGACATAACGAGCACTGACATGTATGGATTTAGGCAAACGATAAGTCACTTCCTGATGAACGACTGACTGGAAATGATGTATTAAGAGGAAATTTTAATTTGAAAAGCCATTCCTCATGCCTCACTCCTGGCCCACTTCAGTTTGACAGACTTCTTCTTCTTAAACTTGTGAATACTGAGTGTGAGAAAATAAACCAGACAACATGAAGCGGTCAGGTGGTGGAATCAGCCAGACGATCAGTTTGTGGGGTAAACGTAGGGAATCATCTCAGAATGAGTCCAACAGTTTGGAAAAATAACCAGAAACGATTGCAGGGAAAATATAATAATGTGGAGAAGTGAAGGTGCTGTTGGGGTTTCTGAGGAGGTATTTAAGGTTTAACAGTAAGATGTAAGACCCTCCACCTTAGTCCCAGACATTATTTAGGTTTGTTTTATTTTGTTTTTCATTTCGTGTGGGGTTAATTTATTTCTTTGGTCTTTACGATACAGCAGCACATCTGAAATACACCAAATAAATAAATAAGGGTCCGGCGGCGCCTCAGTATCGCTCTGCTGACAGCTGGAATTGGCCTGGGTGGAACATTTGCATTTAAAATGGCTCCTTCCATATAAAAAACCAGCACCTTGTCCTGACTGCATGACCCAAATACTCAGCAACTCTTGACATGTTCAGTGTGGTTTAACACAGAGACAGCAGAGGAAGAGGAGGAAATCACATCCCACCTCCAGTCAGTCGGACTACAACCGACATCCACGGCTGCTTTTAAACCTTTTATATTCGCTGGAATCTGTATAAACGTTTGGAAAATAACGGCGGAGAAGAACGAGGAAAGAAATGAGAAGCAGAGAAAGATTTAGGGGTCAAAAAAAGGGATTGTGTCAGATTTAAATAAGGAGAAAAAAAGGCTAAACAAAGAAAACCAGAAGGCAGTGGAGCAGGAAGACAGAAGCAACGAGAGCCGAGGTGAGAGGAATCAGCCAGATACGATCCGTTAGACGATGAGTGCTTTAATCAAAGACTCGCGCCGGGGATTTAAAGTCTCGGCCAAATTCATTAAGTCAGTTAACCGTGCAGTTTAATTTCATTCGTAATTTTTGCTCCGCTGATGTAAAAACTCCCAGCAGGCCGGCTGCTTCCATGATGGATTCGTGGGTCGTGCATGGAAGCCGAAGCGTTTTATTAAACCGTCCCTGCTCTGAAGTGATGAAATGAAAATACAACAGAGTGCAAAGCGACAGCGTGGCAGCACATCCAACATTCATAAAGCAGCTGATTCAGCTTCTATTAGTTTATATTAGAGTCGAATGATTGAGTCTTTCTGCCGCCTTCTTTCCTTCTTCTGAGCGAGATGGTTTGACTTCCTCGTGTTCTGTTTCGCTGCTTCGACGNCATAAAAACAAAAAACTAAAGATGATTTTTTATTTATTGTTACTTATGCAAAAATGGAAAAAGGCTGGAATGAAGATGTGTCCGTAGGTGTTGTCAATACTGGAGGGAAATGGTGGCTCTAAAAACAACAGATATTTTACTACTTAGTCGTTGTTTCCATCATTACCTCCTGCTATCTGCTCTGTGTACACAGCCTGCAGTTCAGCCTACAATCTGAGCGTTTGGAGTTCAAAGTGTTAAAGTAAAGATAAAGTGAGATAAAGGTCTGTAAAATGTCAACAGCTCACAATAACGTACACTTCTGAGCATCACACAGACATAAACACGGCTACGCAGGCCGACGGCAGCACAAGCGGAGATGACAAAAAGTTGTCGTGCAAGAAAATGTCCAGTATTGTGAGTGGATCATACGCCGTCCCTAAGAACAGAAGAAGATTAAAGATTCAGGGCAGAAAAAGGGCGGATTGAGGTCCTGCTGGTGCTAAAGGCTGTGACGGACACCTGCCCTCAAAAACTCTGATCCTGTGTCAGAAAACTTTATCTGCTGCCCGCGAGCACAAAGCAGAGGATTGTGAGGATTGGTCGGCACGCAGATTATTGTTTCTATAAACTCTGGGCTTATCTGACTATTGTTAGCTAACATTTTACACAATGTTCTATTAATATGCAAACAAAGGACGAACCCATCCAGCTCAGAAATGGCAGCAAGGATTTACAAACAACGTGAGATGTGCGCTGATTAAAACGGTCGACCGTGATCCTGTGACCAGCGATCATCTCCACGCCTAAACACACCTGAACGTTCAGAGCAGAACAAAGTTTCAGCGGCGTGGCCCTTTAAGCCGGCGGCCCGGTGCAGGAGTATTTACAATGTTTTTGGCACTACTGTCAGCTTGTAAATGTGTTCAGTCCATCTGTTCCAAAAGATCAGAGGGAACATCTTTTTTTTTTTTATTCGCCCCTAAAAGCAGCCTAGATAACTGCTTACGTAAGAGATGATCCTTGGAATAAACACACGCACCGACTCCATGTTTACTGCAGCGCCTTCTGCCTGTCTGTGCTGCTGGAGCGCTGAGGCACAAACACACGCGTGTGTCTGTATGTTTACATGTCTGTATATCTGTACGTGTGTGAGAGGGCTGAAATGAGCTGAAACTTATATTTAATTGAACCGATTCCGACTCCTCGAGCAGCTCTTTGAAGATGACGACACAATCTGTCCTCTTTTTACATGTCTCTGGTTCTGCTCTGCTGGTTCTGCTCTGCTGGTTCTGCTCTGCCGGTTCTGCTCTGCCGGTTCTGCTCTGCCGGTTCTGCTCTGCTGGTTCTGCTCTGCTGCTGCCATCTCGTGGCTGTGAAACGTCACAGTGACCTCCTGCGGAGCACCAACTGCCAGTGAAATGTAGTTTTGTGGGATAAATTCATTAAGAGTCGCCGCCATGCTGACTGCTAATTAAACAAGGTGGCAACAAGGAAGAGAGACATTTTATTGGGCTGTTAGGCCTGAATTAAAACCTGAACCCGCTGTGAGATCTTTATTCTGTTGTGTATAATCAGTTTACTGCACACATTATCTAAAGGCTGCTGTGTGCTTCTATATAATGTAATTTACTGAAGATCACATCCACTCAGTTTGGTGGGAAATACCTTCATGTTGACATTGACAGTTATAGCGACAATATTTTTCTATCACTGCTCAAATTTTCATTAAAAAAAAAGGCATAGTTAACATTGTAATATGTTTATGTAAAATATTTATCTAAAACAAAGATCCACTCAACATATATGCATGTACCTCTTCTTCTTGTTGCTGATTTATCTACCAGTTCTTTCCCCAAAACAAGTTTATAAAATGATGCCACAGCTGAAAAAAAGCTCGTATTAAATCTCAACTAGAGTTCACCAGGAGGTACGTGGGAGACTCTGAAGTGGACTGGAGGATGCTGTGTTTGCTGGACTTCACCACAAACATCCCCACTGTGAAGCACGGCGGTGGCAGCATCATCAACTGAATAAAACACTTCTACACATTTAGATCATGTGAAGCTACATTTCTTCCAGTCGTGGGAGCAACTGTGGGCAACTGGGAAAATGTTGTAGCAGTGAGTTGTTGCTGCAGTGAAAAATGAGCCCACAGTGAGAAGAAAATGGGACAAAAAAAACTGCTCAGAGTTCAGAGTTACCATGTTTCTATCAATAATCAAACATAAACCTTGATGTAAACGTGTTTAAATGCTAATAAACATATTTACAATAAAACTCTGATCTCAGCAGCGTGTCTCCGGCCTACCTGTCGGCTTGTGTGGACAGCGTGCACACAGCCTTGGCAGCGTTGTTTCCCGTCATCAGGCTGCCGCTCTTCAGGTCCAGGCCTCGGCCTCCTCGGCTGCGCTCCCTCAGCAGCTCCTGGATGGACAGCGGCTGGATGACCGGCTGGCTCAGGCTCAGCTCGGCCGCCTCGGGGCTGGGCTCGCAGCTCAGCTCCAGCCCCAGGTCGATGCCGGCCGACTGCTGGCTCTGCTGGGTGATGGTGGTCAGGGAGGACGGCTGCGAGGAGCCGTCGCTGAAGTGTGTGTGCTCCAGAGAGCTGATGTACTCGGTCACCCTGAGAAAGATTTATAGGTTTACAACACATCCCTCATACCTTTAAATGAAGCCGTTTGGGGGAAACCTGCTGTCTGCTAGTGTGTGAGTTTAATAATCCCATTGCAAGTGCTTGAAAAGTTCCACTTGTACATTCAGATTTTTTTACTGACGAGGACACTGAGCCTGTACAAAACTATTCACACATTTTGGGAGATTTGCCCTTTAATTCCTACCTACAAGCTTCAGCAGCTGAGATGGGAGAGACTCTGCTCAGCTTTATGGAAGAGTGGCAAAGAGAAAGCCACTTGACAGAGCTCAAGCAGATTTGCATCGAGGAATGGGCTAAAACTTCAGGCTGAGTGAGACCCATCCACACCGGGTCAGTGCAGCAGCTCAAGAAGCATCTTCTATAAACTGACTTGAATGGAGTGAAGACCGATGCAAAAGCTCATTTAACATTTTATTATTATTAGTCAATTGGCATTACTTTGCAGAAAACATTACTTTGACATCAAAGAGTCTTTCTTCTTCTCATCAAAAAAGCCAGATCGTACAGACCATGACTCATCGTTGAAGAGCAATAAAAGCAGAAAGCTACCAGCGGGGGTGAATATGTTTCATAGCCTTTCATAGCCGATGCAAGTTTCATGTGTGAGCGTACCTGAAGACGTGCGGCCAGCAGTCGTGGTTGTGGCTGCCCATCTCCAGCCCGACGTTCAGGATGGCGTCCATACACAACACGTGAGCTGTGTGGAGACGAACTCCCTGAGGACGGCCGATCTGCTCCAGACGCTGCTCAACACGCTGCTTCACTGGACGCACAGAGGAAGGAAAAACGATGAACCCTCGTGAGAAATGATGTTTTAAAGGCTAGAAACGAGCTCAAGCTATATTTAAAACAACTGACTGTTTAATTACGAGCTTAAAATCTGTCAAACTTTAATATCGACTTTGCTTTTTCGAGAAATAAGATGATTTTTGAAGGAGATGAGCTCCTTGTAGTTCCCCACAGCCGCCCCTAGGTGTCACTAAAGGCCCATGTCTTCTTTTATTAAACATGATTCCGTCTGTGTTTTTGGTGTGTGTGTGTGTGTTTGTACACGTTTATGAACTGCTTTGTAATAAAAATGCACGTTGCTGTCAGCACCTTGTGTAATAGTGTCTCCGGTGTCTCCAAGCTCCTTCTCCTCCTTCTCCTCCTGCACACAGGAGGCTGCAGCCATCTGGGCTAAAGCTGACGCACAGTTGGCAGCAACACCTGACAGACACGGTGCAAACATGTGCCGTGTTATTCCATTAATTAATCAAACATAGGATGGTTGAAATCAGACAAATGTACACCAAACGATACGATACAACAGAGTCACACTCATCAGCACATCATCAGGGCACGCTCTAATGCACACTGTCACACCCACTCTAGATTCTCATCCAGATTTCGACTTTCAGAATTAGACATTTATCAGATTTACACTCTTCTGTGTGTCCCAGTGTGTTCCAGCAACTGCTCATAGTTCATAGAATCAGACTTCTGAAAGAGGTTATGGGTGAAGCTTCATCTCTCCAGATGTTCTCTGTAAAAGCTGAGGTAGAAGGTGTGCATGAACCTTAACCTCCTGTTAACCTCCCACAGAGCTGCAGAGTCCAGCAGCTACTGAGCAGCTGTCACTTGTAAAAGTGCCAAATTTAATTAATGCGAAGCTGAGGAGGAAAAACATTTCTGCATTTAGCAAAAGCTCAACTTGGCAAATTTATATTTCATGTAGGTCAGAAACATTCAGTAAAAGTTTAAACCCTCTGAACCCGAAGCAGCTTCTGGGTTTTTATTGACTGCCGTCACGTTTACTCACCGTGGGCTCGTTTTCACTGCGACATAAAGGAAACAGCACAACCATGACTAGAGGTCCAGAAATGTCTTCTGTGCACAACAATAAACCAATAATTATTTTTTTAAAAAGGGAAAATGAAAGTTAATTATATTGATTATATACAGTCTGTATTCAACACGTCCATTAAAGAAAATCTAAACTCACAACAGTCACTCAAATAACTAGAAACTGAAAAAAGTAATAATAAATAAAAATGTGTTAAATTATAATTTAGTGAATTAAGACGTTGCTTTTGAATTGTGGTTGAAAAGAATAATTTAAAAAAACAAAAAATGGACAAACTAGAGGCCTTTGCTGATGAGCAGTGGTCCAGAACACCTGTCAACAGGTGCACAAGTCTGACTGAGAAACACCTGATGGCTGTGATTGGCTCAGAGGGTTGTTCAGCTAGACAGTAGTTCACAGGTCCATCAGGCTGGTTTGATTGTTTGTTTGTTTGTTCTATATATTTATATTTCTGCTGAACCACAATTCAAAAGCAACGTCATGATTTTAATAACATTTTTATTTATTATAACTTTTGGCAATTTCAGCCTATTTCAGTGACTGAAGTTGTTTTTTCCTTCTTTAATGGGAGGGCATGAACACATCTGAGAAGTGTGTGTATATATATATATATATATATGTATATGTATATAGTGTCCCCAGATGTTACTAATTCTGGAAAAACAAAAGAAAAAGTGACGCTCCACATAATATTTTAGGACTTAGTATTATATATTTTTTTAACATCCCTTTCAAAGCCACTGTGGGTTTTGTGGTTCAGAGGGTTAAGCACATATGTGTGTAGTTTATGTGAACCGTACATGCATCAGTTATTCAGGTTCACTGAATTTCTTTTCAAGGATGAGCTTCAGACTCCTGACGGGCCAGATGGAGCAAATCGCAGCAGATTCCATGTGTCAAGTGTCATCTGCACTTCATCTGTGTGACTAAACTTCAGAAGCCTCTGAAACATGTTATTTACTGTCAGTTAAAGTGTCCATAAACCCTCACAGGGCTTCTCAGTTATTCTGGCTAATTAGCCCTCTGCTCCGACTGGAGCTGAAGCAGCGCTGAGAAACACATGAGGCCAGCAAAGCGCTAACGAGAGCAGCAGCAGGGCTCCGTCTCTCCACTCTCCTGCTGCATATGTGCATTCATGTGGCGCGCTCAGCATCCCAACCTAGTTAGTGAGGAGTCGAAGGGTTAAACCATGTGACAGCTAGTCCTCCCTGCTGCCCTCATCCCTCCACCAAGCCTGTGTGCAGGCTGCACAGAGTGTAGGAGACGTGAGCTCTGTTGTATTGCCTTCTAGCTTCATTGTCAGCGAGAGCATAATGAGCGAGATCTCCATCAGCATCCCAGGTGATGGGAGGGTCCTGATTATAACGGAGAACAGCAGATATGTTCCCTCCTTAACAGAGTAGAGAGGACTTCACACTGGGACAGTTCCTCATGAACAGGTTCAGCGTGACTGAACAGGTGCTACAGAGCTAACAGGACATGCAGGTAGACGTCAGGTCAGCACAGGTTCTGCAGATTCTGAGAGTAATCAAACGAAACAGGAGAACACCTGAGTGGGAGGAACTTAAACCCTCTGAACCCCCAAAACCTGCAAGCTGGTTTAAAAGGCATGTCATGTTTGTCATTTATCAGTCAGAAAGTGTAAAAATCATTTTTTTTTTAAAAAACATCAAACGTTGAACTTTCCGACAGCCTTCAACTGCTCACATGTGACGTGCATTCAGTTGGTAAGTTCACTATAATGTTACAGAAATCACTTCATCCTACACGTCTCAGTGAGAATTTCATCCAAAATAAAGTGTTTACTTTGACCAGATTCTGTAAACAAACAAACAAACAACAAAAACAAAGCAGTCACACTTTTCTGTGACTCAGCTACAACCAACAATCACAAAAACTCTGGACCGAACCGGGCTGAACCGCACAGATGAGAACACTACGGAAACTTTCCCCTTTTTCTTTTTTGGTATTTTATGGCTTTATAACTTAATTATACAGCAGTTCTCTCTCCTTCCAGTCACGACTGTTTCCACAGAGCTGCAGGACTTTATCTTGCAGTGAAAATTGAGCCCACAGGGAGGACAAATGTGACAGGAGCAGAGAAGCAGCCAAAAGCTATTCTGGGTTCAGTGGATTTAAACTCTTGCACAGTACTGTATGTTTTTGTGTAAAAATAATGCAAAGCTTCTCTATTTAAATCCAAAGTAAGTCTTTATTTTGAGTGATGCAGAGAACTCACTTTGTTTCCTATTTGCATTGCAGTTCTTCATGACAAAACTCCCAGAGCTCAGGAGGTCACATCAGTGTGTTGATCAAAAAGATTTATGGCTGCAGAAAACAAAACATGTTTTCTATGTTGAAGAATGTGAACTTCTCCAACAAGGTGGAGGTTCAGCTGCTGTCTACACAGTGTTCGTCCTTCTAACTCAAACCTGAATATGTTCCAGCTGCAGGGCTGATGTTCAGTGTCTGATCCTGGTCTCTGACTTCTCTGTGTTCAAGGAAAGTAGAACAAAAGGCTCCCCACAGGGCTGAGCGATGAGCCTCATTGTTCCTGTTAAAACCAACACATGAACATGCTTCACCCACCCAGAGCGCAGCTGAGCGCCGCAGCTTTACGGAGGCCGTCCAAGCTCAGACAGATGGTGTCTCTCTCCCGCTGGCTCTGCTCTTTGACCCCCTCTGCTCCCAGGATGAAGGCCAGGCCCTTGGAGCTGCCCGCCATGCGGCCCGTCAGCGGCGTGGACAGAACATCGATCAGGTTCTTCCAGACACCGGTGAGGATGAAGCGCGAGAACACGGCTCCTGGAACACACACACACAGAAACACTGATGCTATATGTAGGAGCTCTGTTTGAAAAGTGGACCATCCTGCAGGTTCACCGATCAGCAACAACATACGTAATGCACCTTTAAAGGTTCCAGATTTTATTGTGTTTTGTGAGCCTTAAAATGAAAGCTGTGATAAAATGCACCACCACACCTCAAGGCTAACCTGACAAAGCCAGTAATCATCCAGCTAAAGATTAGCATAGCCCCGCCCCCCTCGCTGCTTCCAGGTGAACCAATCAGAACGAGCAGCTGCCTCAGAGTGCACCAGGTTTATTTACCGTCTACAGCTGCTTTGGCTAAAATGTCACAGAAAAAGCTCACGAAATGTTCTGCAGCTAAAGTGAACACAAGAGTATTTATGCTCTCCCAGCATCTGAGGAACTGAAGACCAACTGGATTTATTGTTTGATGGAAATCAAACAGGAAGATTCATACTGTGAGCTCATTGTGTAGGTAATGTTGGCTAATGTTAGCATTAGCTGTGATGCTCCGCCCACAGGTCAGAGCTCCATGGAAACAGTCAGAGGAAAACTGAGTTAAACCAGTAACCAGGGACTGGACGGGTGTTTTGCATGACACCTAAACTCATGTGACTTCTGTTTGCTTCTCTCCTGCTCTCTGTGCTCACACAGATGTTTTTAGTATCTTTTGCTTTTTAGCAGCTGGATTCCCAGTAAAGCTGTTCTCCTTTACAGGACGTTCTGTCTCCGTTGTCAGACAACAGAACAAAAACGCAGCTCATTAAGACTACATCGTAACCAGCGGCCACTTGAGAGAGTTAAAATAATGACAAACTCGGGAAACACACGAATAACAAATAACAGCTGTGAGTTCTGAGATCATCTCCACGTCAGATGATTGTCAGCTGCTGTGAGGTCGATGGTGTCAGCAGAGGGAGTCTTCTTCCTGAAGGGGACAGTCACGGAAAAACCAACCAGCTAGAAAGAACAATGTGGGGACATGTGGGACTGGAATAAGGACCTTCAGAGCGTCTGTAGCTGATGTCAGGAAGCTACAACATCCAGTAAAAAACAGCGTTCAGTCAGCTCTGCACTCCGAGATCTCAACAGTTTACACAGCGAGTAGCTGGAGAGGCGGTGATTCAGACAAACAGGAGCTCCGGTGCTTTGTACACACTCAAAAAGAACATCAGTGTCATCGTGGGTGACTCAGCAGCGGTTGCCATGGCGATGCCGGCCAACCCTTAGCGCTCCAGGGGGATGCTGGAGGAGCGCAGGTGGTCCCTGACTCATTTTCTCCACGTCTCCGGCTGCGTCCGGCCTCTTTCTACCCGTCCACTCTTTGATTTTTCACTCGCTGTTTGGCCTCTTTTCTTCCTCGGCGCCGTCGCATCGAGGCCAGCTGGTTTAAAATATGTTGTCGCAGCTACAGACAGACATTTTCATTCATGTTTCAAAGGGATGAACACAGTCGGGCACATTTTAACGAATCTGAAGCAGTGTTTCAGGGGCAGCCAGTAACCAACAAACAGATCAAATGGGACTAAAAAACATCTCATCAAACCCAAAGAGAGAATAAAAAGTTCAGGTCTGTGTTGTCGTAGCTCTGCTCTGCTGTTGCAACGTTTCTGGAAATATTTCACCACATTTACCACTTGGGGGTAACCGAGCAGCGAGCAGCGAGCAGCAGCACCATGTTCCCGGTTACATAACTGTGCAGTCGGATATAAAACTCCCTGAATATTCATCTGTTATGGCCTCGCTCATCTGTGTCCTTTTACTTTTCACGGCATCACACAAAAAAATAATGAAAAAAGAGCTGGAACATTTGTCCATGCAGCACTCTTGTGGGATGCTTCACCTATCAGCGCGCTGCCAGAGCAGCGTTTTGAACTGATTAACACAGCAGCAGCAGCTCGGCAGCACTTTCTGGGTAAGTGAACTCCATTTAGAGAGGGTGAGCTGATTCAGAGGCTCCGAGGAAAAGCTGCTCGGCTCCGAATGCACCGCAAACACGAGAAATCTCTGAATTAAGAGGGTCTGACCTGCAATAAAAACGCAGCTGCTGACGGAGGAGAACTAAACGTTCATTACTTTCGCAACACAAATCTTCTCGTTGCTGAAGGAGAGAAAATTAGCCGAGCCGAGGCTCAGAACGATAAAAAACCCAGTTTCAGTTCTGTCACAGCAACGATGAATTCATGCATGTATCTAGAGCTCATATTTCACGTGTACATCGGATGTCTGCGGCTTTAGAGCAGCGTTCTGACCTGCCATCGCTGTGTCGCTGCTGGCCTTGTCACAGCTGAGAGGCGATTGGCTGGTCGCTCTCCTGATCAGCTGACCTCCGATCGCACTGCTGCCCAGACCGTCGATATCTGACAGAGGAGGAGGAGATAAGAAGACATGGTGAAGCTGTGAATCACTGTGACGATCACAGAGGATGTCTGTTTCACTTTACAGATCCTGGATACAGAACACAATCAAATACAAAAACATGAAATATAGTAAAAGATAATATGCACAAGTGTAGCCTATGAATACATCTATGATCAAACACAGAAACACAGTGGCCTACAGGAGAGACAAGGTGCAGCTGGATGTGAACATATGTGCAGATTTAGTATATAAAAAGAGATTCTGTAAGTATTAAAGTGATCATAGAGCTAGAACATGACAAACACTGATGACTGATATATTAGTTTTGTTTATATAATTAACTTTATGTCAGACTAAAATAAAAGAACACTCTAGGATTCCTATTTTTTGTGTCATTTCTGGTTTTTTGTGCGTGTTAAAGCTCTGAAAACTCTGTTGGTCACAACTAGCATGGCTTCTCAGTTGTGTTGAGGACATTTTTTTTTGTGTTTTTACAGATTCTGGTGAGAGCAAACGGTTTATCTGTGGATAAGTTTCAAATACGACATTAAGTCTGATTAATAAGACAGAAATTTGGGTGAAATATCATAAGTCTAAGTCTACAGAAACACACGTCCTGCAAATCTTCCTGTTTTTACAGCTGCAGGATCTGATAATCGGTGCAATTCATGCTAGTTTTTTGCAAGATAGCATATCTTTCAAACCCTCTGACAAGTTTTGGGGTTTAGAGAGTTAAAGCATGCAAACATAATCTGTAAATATGCATCATATGGTTTCTTGATTTCTGAAATTACTGAGAGCTTTCATTTAAAAACACTTCCCTCACAGAACAGGTGTTAAGTTCTTCCCTGCAGGTGAGTGTAACTCAGTAACATCACCTGTGCGTTCCTACCTGTGAGCATGGTGATGAGCGGCAGCGTGTGGTCCTCCGGGGAGCCCCAGTACCCGGCCTCGCCCAGCAGGTTGCGCTCCAGCACCTGGTGGTAAAGCTCCTCGATCCAGGCCTGCGACAGAACCACGAGGACCCCGCTGCTCTGGATCAGACGCACAAACTCCTTCTGCACAACAGGAGCACAGCCACACGTTAAACGGTTTCATCCACGGGGCAACACTCGGGCAAGATCCTCCTGAGTTCTGCCCTCACCAGGCTGAGGACGGGCGCGAGCGCTCGCCGTCGGTAGTAGTCGCAGCAGCAGAGCTTGAGGTTGAGCAGCAGAGCGTAGTAGGACACCAGGTAGAGGCCGTCGGCGTTCATCAGAGACTGGCAGCTCAGAGTGTCGCCGGCCTCGAAGCCCGGAGAGTGAATCCCACCTGAGGAGGACAGGGAGGCACCAGGGGTTAACAGTGTCATTAGCTAGAACAGAGTGTCGCACAGAAAGAGGTCAGGACGCTACATAACGAGGGACATAACGAGCACTGACATGTATGGATTTAGGCAAACGATAAGTCACTTCCTGATGAACGACTGACTGGAAATGATGTATTAAGAGGAAATTTTAATTTGAAAAGCCATTCCTCATGCCTCACTCCTGGCCAGCTTCAGTTTGACAGACGACTTCTTCTTAAACTTGTGAATACTGAGTGTGAGAAAATAAACCAGACAACATGAAGCGGTCAGGTGGTGGAATCAGCCAGACGATCAGTTTGTGGGGTAAACGTAGGGAATCATCTCAGAATGAGTCCAACAGTTTGGAAAAATAACCAGAAACGATTGCAGGGAAAATATAATAATGTGGAGAAGTGAAGGTGCTGTTGGGGTTTCTGAGGAGGTATTTAAGGTTTAACAGTAAGATGTAAGACCCTCCACCTTAGTCCCAGACATTATTTAGGTTTGTTTTATTTTGTTTTTCATTTCGTGTGGGGTTAATTTATTTCTTTGGTCTTTACGATACAGCAGCACATCTGAAATACACCAAATAAATAAATAAGGGTCCGGCGGCGCCTCAGTATCGCTCTGCTGACAGCTGGAATTGGCCTGGGTGGAACATTTGCATTTAAAATGGCTCCTTCCATATAAAAAACCAGCACCTTCTCCTGACTGCATGACCCAAATACTCAGCAACTCTTGACATGTTCAGTGTGGTTTAACACAGAGACAGCAGAGGAAGAGGAGGAAATCACATCCCACCTCCAGTCAGTCGGACTACAACCGACATCCACGGCTGCTTTTAAACCTTTTATATTCGCTGGAATCTGTATAAACGTTTGGAAAATAACGGCGGAGAAGAACGAGGAAAGAAATGAGAAGCAGAGAAAGATTTAGGGGTCAAAAAAAGGGATTGTGTCAGATTTAAATAAGGAGAAAAAAAGGCTAAACAAAGAAAACCAGAAGGCAGTGGAGCAGGAAGACAGAAGCAACGAGAGCCGAGGTGAGAGGAATCAGCCAGATACGATCCGTTAGACGATGAGAGCTTTAATCAAAGACTCGCGCCGGGGATTTAAAGTCTCGGCCAAATTCATTAAGTCAGTTAACCGTGCAGTTTAATTTCATTCGTAATTTTTGCTCCGCTGATGTAAAAACTCCCAGCAGGCCGGCTGCTTCCATGATGGATTCGTGGGTCGTGCATGGAAGCCGAAGCGTTTTATTAAACCGTCCCTGCTCTGAAGTGATGAAATGAAAATACAACAGAGTGCAAAGCGACAGCGTGGCAGCACATCCAACATTCATAAAGCAGCTGATTCAGCTTCTATTAGTTTAAATTAGAGTCAAATGATTGAGTCTTTCTGCCGCCTTCTTTCCTTCTTCTGAGCGAGATGGTTTTTCTTTCTCGTGTTCTGTTTCGCTGCTTCGACGCCGAGCATTTGATTTCTGATCTTTGCACTGAAGTGAGTAAAGTTTGGAGTTAGAGCAGAATCACATGCACATCAATACTTCGTTTGTATGATTCATGATCGTAAAGGTGCAGAAAACAGAAACGCACAGCAAACATCTGTCAGTTCTTTACAGAGATTTTCAGTTTCTTCCTCAGTCCTTTGAACTCAAAGCAGTTTTTGGGCGTCACATGTTTCACTCCAGCATAAAGTCCTGCACCTCGATGGAAACAGAGCGACCACGACTAGAAGGAGAGAGGACTCAGAACTGTCCTCTGTGCTGTAGGACACGGTTATAGATGAAAGTTCAGTTCAGAAGAGCAAACCAAAGCCTACATTCATCACAAATACGATGACAGTGGAGTCAATAATAGGAGCATGTTTTTTTTCAGTTTTCTACAGAATCATGTTGAAGCAAATGGTTTGTGTTTAAGTTAATATGTTTAGTGAAGTGATGTCATGATTTGTAGCTTAGATTTGGTTAATTTTCTGTTTTTGGCTCTGATAAATGTTCAGCTGAAAAGTCTCCAGATGTTGACTGTTGGTTGAAGCTGAGTTTTGTTGCACATCTCTGAGTTCTCTCTCCATCCAGTCGTGGTCGTTCTGTTTCCACAGAGCTGCAGGACTTTATGTTGCAGTGAAAAATGAACCCACAGTGAGGAAAACTGTGACAGGAGCAAAGACAGATTTAAACATTTCCCCTTGAAGGTGAGTTTCTGCACTAATATACTGGTGTGTTGCTGCAGCTCCTGGTCATCCAGAGTGTTTTGTGTATTTAAGTGTAATCCAGGAACAGGCTGCTGCTCCCTCAGCAAACACACAGCGTTTGTTCAGCAAACAGCATGTTGGTCTGTTCTGATCCCAGGCTGAGAAATGAACTCACCCGCCTGCAGTCCGGAGCAGAATGTGGAGGAGAAGTTCTGCAGCGACAGGTCCACCTCGGTGGCGCCGGGCAGCCCCAGCAGCCTGGGCAGAAGGGCGGCCAGCGACTGGACGAAGAGCCGGGCGCTCTGCTGGTCGGCCTCCTGGTTGCGCAGCAGCTTGAGCGACAGGGCGGCGGTGCGCAGCGAGCGGTGGCCCGGACAGTCCCGGGGCGTCTGCTGCTCCTCGTCGGCCAGCGACACGTTGTCAGAGCCGATGTCGGACACGTCGGAGCGGCCCGAGTCCTTCTCGGCGGCCATCGAGTACTGGTCACAGGAGTCGAACTCTGTCCGCGACAAGTCCTGCTCCTCCATACTGCTGGAGCACACACAGGGGCATCATGACGCGTATACAGAACTGCTTCTCATTATTTTTAATTCAAATTTCAGATTTCAGACTGTCTTTGCTGACAGTGAACAACATCCTGCATCGATTTACAGTTTTATTTGTCACAGTCTGAATAATCTCAGTGTGATGATGGAGCCATGATAGAAAAGCTGCCTTCTGTTTAGCATTTAGGAATTCATCACGCTGGAATAACGGCTGAGTGAGGGCCAAGAATAAAACCCACCGGGCAGTTTCTCCGTTTCATAAACCAACATGTTTTCTTGATTTGGATAAAATGGCTGGTTTCTATTTCAGTGAATGAACGAGGCGGCATAGAGCCAGTGGTCAGCACCGGCTACACCAGGCAGGACTTTAATAAATTCTGCTCCTGGTGTAGAAGTTCAGTGTTTGGAACTTATTTGGATCAGGACTCAGCAGTTCACCTGCATCTTAAGGACAAAGGACACTCATCTGAAGACAACAACGTACACGTTTTAATAAGGGAGGACAGATGGTCTGAGGGACAGGGCTGAAAGAAGCATCTATGTCCACCTGGAAAGACCATCCCTCAGCAGAGGTGGAGGTCTGAGGCTTCACCTGTTACAGTTCAGTCCTCAGATCTCTCCCCAGGAAAATGAACCCACATCCACACCTAGCCACAGAGACCCTAACGAACCCCACTGTGGCAGGGGGAGCACTAACGAGTCACATAACGAGGGGGAGGAGCAACAAACCCCCAATTAAAACCCAAACTCAGGTGTTAATGGATCCTTCAGGATGTCAGTATGTGGAACTCCCAACTAGTCAGTCAGAGCTGATGAAGCCTCTTGGATGAAGGTGGAACGTCTTCAAGGAACTCAAGCAGGTCCAGCTGCTACGATCAATCTACAAGAACAACCAGGACCTGGATGACTGAGGATCTTCAGACTTATTTGGAAAACGTGCATCCAGCTCACACACAGAGTAAAAACCACCTCAAGTGAGCGTGAACTTTTTTTTTTTTTAGCCTTTTTTCATTATGATGTTTCAGAAAGAACATAAAACTAAATTATAAAACCTCCACTAGTGACGTGTTGAGGATGTCAGATTCCCGTGAGCGCTAACGTTTCTATGGAATCGGCCACTAGATGGCGCTGAAGTCTGAAACTTGTCTTCAAAGAGCCAAACTACTGACCATCAAAGACAACCAGAGTCGACAGACACCTGTACCTGAAGTTGCTCTCGCTGTAGCGGGACCCCGCTCCGTGGTGCGACCGGGTCCTGGACTCCACCGACAGGAAGTTGGTGATGTCGGGGTAGACGAGGGCGTGACTCCTCTGCACCACATCTGGAGGAACTGCACCTCCTCTTTCTCCTCCTCCTCCACCTCCTCCAGCTCGCTCCTTCTCCACCCGTCCCTCCACCTCCACTGTGCCTCCACCTCCCTCCTCCCTCTGGCTCCCCCGGTCCGGACCGAGGCCCGGTTTGGTCGCCTCCTGACCGCCGCAGGACGAGGGCGAGGGGAGGCGGGCTTCCTCGCCGCATTCCTCCGGAGTGGTGTGGGCCAGCCCCATGCCGAGCTCCCCCACCTCCAGGTCCAGGGTGGTCTGGCCCGTCTCCGTGGTGATGCTGATGCTGATGTCGGGGCTGCGCTCGGCGGCGCTGGCGGCGGCCACGTTGGAGGAGGAGGAGGAGCCGGGGTCCCAGGGAGGCTGCTCCGAGGACAGGATGTGTCTCTGCCACCGGAAGTCGGCCTCGTTGATCTCCATGGACTCACGGGTCGACTCGGTTCCGTCTTTCAGATCCTCCAGTCGTCTGAGGAGGAGTCGAGCCTGAAACACATCTGCTGCGTCACTATTTCACACTTAATCCTCGTTTTTAAGCTAATTTCTTCCATAACTTTCATCTCCCTTCATGCCAACTCCCTGAGAAGCCTTCAGTAGATAAAGGACTGGCTGATCCCGACCCTCTGAACCCGAAACACTTTCAGGTCGTTTTACTCACTGTGGGCTCATGTTTCACTGCAAAGTAAAGTTCTGTACATTTATGAAGACAGTAAGGCCACAGCAACAAACAGAGAAGTCAGAGGCTGTGCACTGATAAGCCATTAATCATGAAATAAACGTGCATTTCTTTACAAATTAGTTTAAAAAAATTAAAAACACCCAAATCAAAACGTACTACATTTTTCCAGATGTCAACAGGTCTTACCGGTACTGGACTCTAAATGCTGTAAATATTTCACTTCTTACATTTTGTTTCTATACTCGTCTCCAGCGGCATTCAGTCCATTTCAGTGGAAAAGTTTCTGAATTTTTTATTACACGACTGTTAGTTGCAGCCAAATCGCTCACGGCTTTTTGGTTTCACCGAGAAATGGAGAATTCTTCTGTTTTTTATAGAATCTACTTTGTGAAAACTGTTTATTGTTGGTCAAGTTTAGATTACATCTATAGAACGAAGTGATGAAGCCATTTTAAACTTCACAGATGAGCAGTTCAAGGACCATCAGAGAGTTTAAAATCTGACAACTGTTTCTGTTCTCACAGGTTTTGTCTGATAACTGGTGTCACTTCAACATGAATTTCAAACCTGTCGGTGGGTCTGGAGGTTCAGAGGGTAAACTAAAACAACTCAGTGGATTATTAGACGGATGGAGGTCCCGTCTCGGTGTCTGTGGTCGTACGTACCTGTTCGGACTGGATGCCGCGGCCCTGCGACAGCTCGTCCAGAGCGCCGAGCAGAGCACAAGCGCAGGAGACGGAGGCGTAACAGGCCTCGATGCCTCCCTTCATGCAGGCCTCCGTCATCCCGTCCATCACTCTGCATCACAAACAAACAGGCATCACATTGTGAACACTTCGCTTAAAGTCAGAGAACATGAGCTGAGAACAAGCTTACATCTGATTCATAACTGAACTACTTTAAGAACTATTGTGACCAAAATAAGCTTGTAGAGCCTCTACAGACTTCACAGCTCATCAGTTACTGACAGCTTCAGCAGGTCCAGGTGGGACTTCCTCTTGGAGAAGGAGCGTTTCCTGGTTTCAGGTTCAGCCATGCAGGGACCGGCCAGGTCGTAGAGCCGCTGGGGGCTGCCCAGGATCTGACAAACACACAGAACACGTTCGCTTACATTCATTTACTACTTTTCATAAATGCATTTTCAGTTTTCACCTGCATATTTTGGATTCGTGGAAAACTTTGCTTATTAACCCTCCGAACACTAAAACCTGCCGTCGGGTTAAAAAGCATGCTGCCTTCACAAAGTTTCCCATTTATCAGAGCCAGAATGACCAAATCTAATCTGAAATCAGAATATTTAACAAAAATTGGCCAAAAATAAAGCGTTTGTTCCAACCAGAGTCCGTAAACAGAAAAACATTCTTCTGCACAACCAGGAAGCCGTCAGTGACTCAGTGGTGACCAACAGGCTCATGACAACAAACCTGGGACTGTTCAGCACAACTGGACTGCAGCAGTACAAAGTAAAGACTAAAATAAAAGCATCCATCCATCTAAAATATCTAGAAAACCTCTAGTGTGTAGGTTTGTTCCAGTTCCGTAACATCTGGGGACATGTTGATTCCAGGTTTATAAAACTTTGTAGAATCAAATAAATGAAGCATTCATTCTATGTTTGTTTGATGTTTGAAAGCTGATTACTGTGTCGTGCTGCACAGAAGACATGTCTGAGTTTGTTCTCCTTCTCGTCCTGGTTGTTCTGTTTCCATAGAGGTGCAGGACTTTAAATGAACCCACAATGAGGAAAAATGTGACACAAGCCTAAAAAAAACCCTGAACACTTTTCCAGAGGTTTGAAAGTAAGACATCAAAGGAGGAAGCTATGAAGCTTTAGGAAACGGTGAGAAGCATCGTGTCGTCCTCCCACCTCCTTCATGATGCGGATGGCCTCGGTGCGGTGCTGAGGCGGCGGGTACAGCAGGATCCGGTGGTACAGCGACTGCAGCACCGGCTTCATCGACTCCACGCAGCTCACCAGGCGCACCAGCTCCGCCGCGATGTAGCACACCGTCCGCACTACCGGCGCGATCCTGGCGGGGGCGCTGGAGGAGCAGCCGGAGCCTCGGCCCTGGTCGGACACGCCTCCGGTGGAGAGGTCCACCTCCTGGCCGATTCCTGAGGAGAACACGGAGGAACGAGGAAGCAACAAGAAGTCAACACCCCTCAGAGAACCAGACTGAACAGCAGCAGCTGGTCACACGCCGTTAGCTTCATTACTGATCTAACAGCTGATTAAACTTTACAGGCGTTCATTAAACACAATCTCTGTAAATGTGTTTCTTCCTTCATGTCTGCCATATGGACCCTCTCCAGCCCACGCCGGCCCTCGTGTTGTCGTATAAACGCTCCACTCAGAGGGTTTATCTGCTGGATCTGCTCACCCAGACCGAGTCTCTCCGAGAGTCGATCTCGCTCCGCCGCCGACATGTAGCCGTGGTGGGAGGCGATGGTTTTGTCATTGACGGGGTTTCCCATGATGGCCACCAGGGACGGACACAGCTGCTTCCTGCCAGGAGGAATGTTCACGTTTTTGGGGATTATTGATGCAATAAAACACCGTAATTAGAAAACCGAACACTATCCAAGACTTCTCAAATTACCGTAATGTCCGGACTATAAGCTCCTACTTCCTTCACCCGCTTTGAACACTGCGGCTTATACAACGATGCAGCTAATTTATGTGTTTTTATGAATTCACCTGGAGACCAAAGTGATGCTGAGAGCGCCGACGACAGAGAGACTGAGGAAGTGATGAAGTGATTCTGAGGCTGTTCAGCTCCTGAAGACACTGAAAAAGACGACTTTAGTGGTTTTAGTGCAGGAGGAAGATGAAGATAGCCATCAGTGACTTTTCCTGGTAGCTGCTGGAGTTTTATTTCCTTAACCAGCCGTGTTACAGGAAGTGTTCAGAAAAAAGCCTCTACGGTACGTATCTGTGGATGTTACCGCTACGCATTTAATTAAAGGTTCAAACATCTTTCTGTGTAAATATCTCATGTTCCAACGTGGACACCTGCAGCTTAGTGCAGCCTGGATATGAACACACCTGGTTTATGTTTAGAGTCAGTGGGTGGGGCTTATATTCAGGTGCCTCAATAGTCCAGACATTACGGTAATTTAACAGCACGATCAGCATAAATTGCCATCAAATAATCTATTTTTATTGTTCATGTTCCTCTCAGGGGAGGACACTTGAACGCTTCACAGTTCAGATATTTCTGTTCTCAGTCTGATTGAGTTCTAACTTTTGTCTGCTTGTTCTACTCGTGTGCAGCGTCGGGGACTCTTACCACACGAGGTCGGTGAAGCCTCTGGACAGGTGCATTGTGGGAGGGCAGCTGCTGAGCATGGAGAGGATGCACTCCAGGTAGAGCAGCTGCAGCAGCTGGTTGTCACTGGAGGGCGGAAACAGCATAAATTAGATCTGTTTAAAGCTTAAGTAGGCAGGACTTCTTTTTTTTTTTAAATTAACTTTCCAGCTTGTCGTTTTTTATGTGATCTGAGAGGAAACTAGACGTCTGCCGCTCCTCTGGTAGCGGGAAATCTACGCTATGACAGGACGACTACAGGTCCAGGGAGCTGGATGGCATAAAACCCTGCAGGAGAGAAGCTGCTCTTCCAGCGTTATCAGTAACTTCTAGTGATCCAAAGCAACACAGACGTTTTTACAAAGAGACAATAAATGTAGATTTACTGTCAAACTGGTGATTTGAGGCGATGTTCGATCTCAGTAAACGTTCATGTCAAATGCAGCTTCATTTCTGTCCATGTTTAGACCAATGAGGAGGACTTCCTACCTCTGAGGAGTGAACCTGGGCTGCTCAGGTTCCTCCAGTGAACACTGTGCATCAGCCTCTATGCTGAAATGCACGACTTTATGACAGAAACACACGGTCACAGCCTCCCACCAACACTAACATAGTGTGTTGGTCTCTACAGCTTCTGATGGCTGTCCATGAGGGGGGATATTTATGGACCTCATTCATCTGAACTGTATGAAGGCTGTGAGGTCTGCTTACAACCAGAAACACTCTGCACACCGTAGAGACAATAAGTCTGTGTCGCCTTAATCTGCAGAAACATTTTCTGACCATTGTATGAACAAGAAGCTCGACTACGCTTCAATCTGATTTATAAAACTGGATAAAAATACTGTAATGGCTCATTTTTATTCTCCATGTGTCTTGTTTGGTGCTGGTGATTCTCCTTCAGTGGGAGCTAGAACCTCTGACCCTAACCTGAGCAGCAGTTTACCTGATGTATGTTGAAATCAACACGCTCTGCAGCACACTGGACTCTACTGACAGAAGCATCTCACCCAATGCTGAACATGTTCTTCCTTAAATCCTGCACAAAGTCAGTTATCATCCGTTTTCTGTGTGTTAGCTGCAATTCCTTTAGAAAGTTATGCTCCTATTTTAAAGCCTACTGATTCACTGAGACGCTGAAACATCCTCTAGAAGAACAAAGGAAACAGAAGATCATGTGAGCTGGTGGAAAACTGCAGCGTCACCTGTCCACCGACTCCAGCTTCTCACAGAACACGGTCAGAACCGTCACCACGTCTTCACACAGCGCCTGGCTGGTGGGGGAAATATCTGCAAACACAAACGCACCGTAAAAAGGTTAATTTGACTTTATCTTTGTTCAGTTTGTAGGAACAGCGATAAAAACCTCATTGCTTTTCCTCGTGTCTCCCTCCTTCCTCCCGCTCACCTCCTCATTCCTCTGCAATAAATATAATAGAATCGATGAAGCTGTCTGGCGCTCTGCCTGCAGAAAGCATCTGTCTGAGCTCCTCATGTGTGTCTGATTGTTTATTGTATCATAAAGAAGCAGCGCCAGGTGTTTCATGTTGGTGATTACAGCGGCTCTACACCGGCTGTAAAGCAGTTTGTGACGCGCACTAAACACGACTGAACTTCCACCGCTGCCGGTGGCCTTGCAGCTTTAATGCGACGCTCACATGAGGAAACAAACATGTTGTGGATGGAGAGAGCTGTGGAGGCGTCGCTATTTTTGGATTCTTGCTACGACAAGGGCAAAAAAAAAAAAAAAAAAGTGACATTCCTCCTGCAGGTGGCACCAAAAGAGAGGTGACTTTGTTGTGTGAGTCAAAAGGGTTCATCCTCTGAGAACATCCCAGCAGCCTCGCTTTAGTCGACACAATCTGAACATGAACACACTGCGAGCTCGTCTGTGAGGTTAACGCGTGCTTCAGTTCAGTAAGTCCACAGTCGACTTTGAGAGTCGACGTTAAACGTCATCAGAATTCTCTCTGAAGGAATCCTTTAAATCCTCTGAACAGCAGGTTGTTTATGCACCAGTTATCAGAGCCACAAGCTGTAAGAACAGAAAGAACTGCCAGATTCTATATTTTCTGATGTTCTCTGAACTAATTATCTGTGACACACTGTTAGCCTACAAGCGTAATATTTCATCAAAATCACAATAATCTACACATCTTGTATTAAATATTGCCAAAAATCAACTATTTGCTCAAAGCAGATTCTGTAAACAACAGAGCTCAGCGCTCTGTGAGGCCATCAGTGACTCAGACTTTCAGGCTGACCTGCCGGCTGTGCTTCCAAACAGTAAATATGAGAAAAGAACAGAAACAAATTAAACTGTGAGCTTTAAAACATCTGTAATATGTGGGCTCACCATTGTTCTACTGTTGGTCACATTTGTGAGCACTTGGACAACAGTTGTGCATGTTGATTTCATTTTTAAAACAATAAATGATCAAAGACGTTGAGCTTTTACAGTTTATAGCATCATATAGTTATCACACTGCACACAGTTTGCTCTCCATCTAGTCATCCCTGTTCTGGTTCCACAGACTGCAGTGAAATAACAAGCCGACGCTGAGGAGAAATGTAGAGCAGCAAGAAAGGCCCAGAAACTACTCAGAGGGTTGAAGTGAAAGACAGGATGCTTCTTTGCAAAGATAAAGAAATTTCAGGACATTTCTGGAGAGTGAGGACATTCACATACGGGGAGTTTTAGGAAAATGACATAAACTAAGGACAGATTTTTTTTTTCTTTTAAGTTTGTGGAATCTAATTCTTTGAAGTGGAACCTTTTTTTTTTTTTTAAATGTTCTTCTAAGGATGGTCTAGTTTTTTTTAAAAGATATTTTTGGGGGCTTTTCTGCCTTTAATGTATCGGACAGTGAAAGAGAAATGCAGGGAAAGGACATGCAGCAAATGAGCTGCTGGCTGGAATTGAACCGCGGCCCCTGTATCGGGGACTACAGCCCTGTACATGGTCACCTGCCCAACCTGTTGAGCTGTCCAGGATGGTCCAGTTTACTCATGACAGCTTCAGCTGGACCCAGATGGGTTGGACGGGCTGCTGTGGTGACTGATGCTAAGTTTCAGTTCAGGAAGATGTTTTATGTCAACAAGAGTTAATATAAGAACACATGTGTTAATATTTATGTGTTTCAATCAGAGTGTTGAGAAGACGTTTTATACTAGCGAGGGTAAAAACCTCTGTGTCCGTCCACGGTGCTCATAAGAGTCCATGTGTTTAAATCACATGCGTGGGTACATAACAGAGGTCACTGCGGGCCTGCAGCTAATGAGAGCAGCCAGAGGTGACACGACGGCGGTGATGTACCTCTCCTCTGCAGCGGCGGCGCAGGAACCTCGTCTCCATCGGCGCCCTGGGGACCAACACAGAGCAGAGGGCACGGGTGACTTTGAGCGTCGACACAACGCGACGTCGTGCACGTACCTGCGCAGCACCAGAGCGTGTGCACGATGCGCGGCGCGCTCACCTCCTGTCTGTGGCGCAGCTGCAGCGTCAGGTCGCCCAGGATCTGGCTCAGCGTCGCCCTCACCGCCGTGTTGATGCTGCGCTGGTGGCAGCTGGACACGTACGTCCCGATACACACCTGCAAAGAAACACACACACACACACACACACACACACACACACACACACACACACACACACACACACACAAGAAAGCCGTGACGCACAAGACTGCATCGCAAACTGAAGATTTATGGAGGTTTCCATGGCGTCACTGGTCGCTGTGGTAACCAGAAGGATGTATTGTCAGCGTGTCAAACATCCTCCGGACAGAGCAGAAGGTCACAGAGCAGAACGCTGTGGATCACCGAGACCAGACAGCAGCTACACACACACACACACATGCACACACGCACACACGCACACACCACACACACACCTACACACACACACACACACACACACACAGTTTCCACTCGATGCTTTTATCCAAAGCACTCTGCTGGTCTGGAAAGTACAGCCGGGTTGTTTTTAGCACTCAGACCCTCGGTTAATGGCTCCTCCTGTTCAGCACACACATCTACAGTTTGTCCAGTCGTCACTATTCAGAAACCTTCAAGAAGGTCCAGCGATAGTCACGACATGGAGCCGATTCCTGACAAAAAGCTCTGAGGGTTCAGTGTGAAAGACTTACATCTGGGGTAGAAGCAGCTGCAGGTAATCTGGACGGACAGCCTGACAGCAGACTGAGGCCCTCTGAAGCGTATCTGCTGCACAGTTAGCACCTTTCTCCACATTAAAGAAGTTTTAAGAACGTTATTTCGTGGTATTTGTGTGAAGACGGTTTAGTGTAGGAGCTGTTTTCTGGGTGTGGACACAACAAGCACGACTAGATGTGCACCATACGAGGACAGTGTGTGACGTTTAATGACATCTTTCAACATGATGATGTGACACTAAATAAAGAAATCCTGCTCAAACCATCCTTCTACTGAGCAAATGAACACCCAACCGGTTCAGAACTAAATCTAAAACTAAAACAAATTAAAGTCTAATTTCCCTGCTGCTCCCCGTGAAATATTTCCTCTAAACCAAACTGACATCAGTTAACCTGAGAGCGGCCGACTGAGCCGGCGTCTGATTGGCCAAATGGGCTGGAAATAAACTGATCCAACTGTCGAACTCATTACGTTTTTTTGCTCCGGTCTCATTTTCACTCACTGCGATATTAAATCCTGCACCTCTATGGAAACAATATGATTATGGATAGAAGTGGAGAGAACTCACACACGACACCATCACACTGCCATAAATACAGCACAACAAATAGGAAACAAAAGCTGGATTTGTTGGACTATTCACGGTACAAAAACATTTTAGGAAAACCTTGAATTAACACATTCAACACAGTGATGCACGATATTAACATTTCTGGCCGATACCGATATCCGATATGAAGATTTCTGATATCGCCGATAACCGATATCACCGATGTCCAAATTCAATATTTGTTCCCACCAAAAACAAGTATCAGTAAGCACTGTGAGAAACTGTTCAGAAGAAGCCCAATTAGACAAAACATTTACTTTTACAGAATTCGGTCGATGCAAAGGCTGCATGTCTGGAGAAACAATAAATGAATGAAACAATAAGATGAGAAGTTCAAGGCCCGCTGGAAAGTTAAAAATCCCTCAATTCTTTTGGTTTGTGTTCCAATAAATCGTGTCATTTGGGGGATTTATTAAAACACAGCATGCCGTTCAGACGTGCTGCTGCTGGGTTTCAGAGGGTTCAGTGTGTGTTCTCCAATAGGAACTGTTCAGTATCACAAACACCTCCAGATGTAAACAGGAAGGCGGTGGAGGCCACGACGACGATGAAATGCCAGGATTTATTTTACTAATTATCCTCTGAAGGGCTGAGAACTACCAGCCTCAACAAAGATCGTATCGTATTGGACATCCCGGCTGCCTCGGGGATGTTTTACATCACCTGCGTCTAATCAATGGGAAATCAATGCTTCCTGCACCATTAGGTCCTACAGCGGCGATGAATATGCATGCCTCCCAACATCACAGCTCCTTTCAGCTCCTACAGTTTTAATGCTTCCTCCTGGCGATCGATGCAGCCTCTTTTTAATAGCTGCCGTTTAGTGTAAGTAAGAATATGATCAAGGTTTAATATTTAATCTCTTCAACCTGGAGCAGTGAGGTCATGTATCTGGAGCTGATGCGGGTAAAACCTGAGATACATTTCACTATCGTTTGTGCAAAAGTTTCATCTGATTTAATGATGCTCAGCTTGTGTTTTGATATTTTACCTCCATATAGTGCATGTTCTGAAGCAGAGAAAATGAAAGCAGGAAAAGATGAACAGCGCTCATGCTCGTTGTGCCAGAAGTCATAAACCACTGCAGCCATTACTGTCTCTGCCTGTAGGTGGCGATAAAACTGGAGCTTATGCTGCTATTCTGTGGCTAGTTTCTGTCTGACAATGACTGACAGCTCTCACTAGTGGAGAACTTGCTGTGAATTAAATGAAAGTCAGTTTGTGACTTGAGGTTTCCGACATCTAAAAGGTGCAGGTTTGGCTTCCACCCATCGTAGGTTCATGATCAAAACTCATACATCAGGTTTCAGTTCTGCAGCAGAGAGATTTCACCAAGAGCAGATCTGATTTTAGACTGTATATGAAAGCTAGCTGTAGCTAAACCTGCATTCTGACTGACAGCCAGCAGGGGGCGACTCCACCGCTAGCAACAAGGTGTCAGACTGTATAGAGGTCTATGAGAAAATAAGCCCAGTTGTCCCTTCATTTGCTCCCTCAGGATGGATTTTCCTAAAGAGTTTGGGTCTTAATGACAAGTTTCACGTCTTCTTCAAACAGCAAAGTGGTAATTGTTTAACTTTCAGTCCCATTTGGAGGAAAACGGTCGATAAAGCCGAGTATGTATCAGGGCAGGGCGGCCTCATGGCTGACGGATCCAAAAGAGCAAGATGGCAACTACCACACTCCAAACTAAAGGCATCGGTATGTTGTTTAAAATAAAAAAATAAAAAAATTAAAAATTAAATATGTGACAAAAATATATAAACTGGAAAATAAAACATATATATATATATTTATATATAATTTATATATTAAAATTATTATTTAATATATTTAAAAAATGGTGAAATACTATAATTCATTTAAAAAATAGGGTAAAAATAAAACAAACTATGAAGCTGGTAATATTAATGGAAAATATTAGTGACATATTTTTTTTAATTTAATTGACTTTAAATTGATTTAAATACAGTAAAACTTTGCGGTTTTACAGTCACACACTTTACAGTATACAGATTTTTGATGTGGATGTTATTTATGTTTTTCTAAATTAATGCTTTTTTTTGTAATTCTGCTAGATATTAGCAGCATTTAATAAAACAGGAAAAACAGTTTAAAGATGTATTTTCTATTTTCCAATCCTTAACATTGATAACTTTTAGATAAATAATAAATAAATAATGTGAAATATGTGTTTGACAAAAATATTCTATCATTAAAATACAGAAAATAAATCTACGGTCAAATGTTGTAAAAGAATTAATTATGACAATACAGATTTTTTGTGGACTATATTTTCAGTTTCGGCCTGTTTTTTTACACTTAATGTGTAAATTAATGTTTTTTCTATGAATTTATCTGCATTTTATCAAAACTGGTTAATCTGTGACATGTCAGTAAATCGTTCAGAAGGATTCCAATTATGAAGTGTTGAAGAAAACCTGTTTTCTGTTTTTTTTACAGTGTACGTTGGTCCACCAACAGGTGGGCGATGAGCCCGTTGATACGTCCGTCTGTTACATACAGTCTGAGGGTCAGAGAGGCTTCGTCTGGTTCTGGTGGTCACGACGGCGGCGTCAGATTTCTGTAGGAAATGTTAAAGAGGCCTCAAGCGTCTGTAGCTGCAGATATGTGTTCGTGTAACTGATGCTCGTATTAGAGATAAAGTTTAAAGCTCCCAGCGTCTGAAACTGAACAAATCCCTCAGCGCTGCCAATCCCTGCATTAAGAGCGAGCGCCCAGCCTCGCCGGCTGTGTGGGACGCTGCTGATAATGGAGTGCTGCTGACAGCCTTTCCAGCCGCCCTGAGTTACAACCCGACACAAACAGAAGCACACCGGCACCAGATGGCCAGAGCTGGCAGCACACAGCCCATTAACACACCGTGTTGACCAGGTTTTATGAGCTGTTAATGGACGTCACACATCACCTGGGTGCAGGAGACGCCGAGGGTGGCGGCGACGCGGGAAAACATGCTCCAATTTGGAAAAACAATATGCGGATTTTGGCATTTGGGTTGATGTTTGGGGACGGCGGGGGCGGCGGGACTGAGCGTTAACGACTAAGATGGCAGTTGTTGGATCACAGGACGGGTTCATTGTGCTGTGTGTAACGTGTCCTACTCAGGGGAATCACGAGGTCTGTAAATGGTTTAACACAGCCGCAACACGGCGGCTGAATTCGGTTCTGGAGCCCATTTGCAAAGGGACAAACTTTTCAAACATGTTGAACAAGCAGCTCAGTGGGGATGAAGATGAGGATGCAGGACTGAGTTGAGAAGTTTCTATAGATGCTATTTTTCAGTCATGACTCTCCACATGCATCTCTGCTCCAACCTGTAGCTGACTACAGGTACCGGTCAGTCCAAACGCATCACTCAGAAAAACACAAAGAACGCAACAAAAGCAGATATTTCTTCTACCCGAAGTCGTTTGTTATATTGTGGAGAAAAAAATGAGCTCCATGATCGACACGTGCATCCATCAAGTATTATTTAGACTTCTTCATACTGATTCATGTCTGTCTGTTCCTCGAGCAGGAGGAGCATCGTGTGCAGGAGTTAGCGAGGCAGATGCTCAGTGAGGCGGCTGGACTCCTCTCAAACCTTTACATCAAACTGGAGCTGACAACATGGAGTTTTTAGCTTCCTTCCATCCATCATCTCTACACCTTCATCCTCACTATGGGGGGCGGAGCCTATCCCAGCTGACTCAGGGTGAAGGCAGGTTCACCTGGACAGGTAACCAGTCTATCACAGGGCTACACTTAGAGACAGACAACCAAGCACACTCACATTCACACCTACGGACAATTTACAATCACCAATTAACCTCAGCATGTTTCTGGACTGTGGGAGGAAGCCGGAGAACCCGGAGAGAACCCACGCTGCACGGGGAGAACATGGAGACTCCACGCAGAAAGATCCCGGGTGTCCTCACCGGGACACCAACCGGCGACCTTCTAGCTGTGAGGCGCTAACGATGCTGACCACTGAGCTACTTGCAGTCCTGGGGGAATTAATTTGCATCAAAAATACAAAACAAAACAACATTTTTGAAAGGCTGACAAAGTTTCTAACCTTTCTCACTGACAAACGTTCTGTCGCTGTGGTTGTGCCGATTTAAACGGTCACACAAACTAGTTGCAGCCAAACCTTTCTTCTCAGCGCTCTTCTCCTCTTACTCGCTTGTTTTGCTCACGAGAAGCCTGCAGGTCAACGAACTCTGTGTCTTATAAATAAAGTTCCAAAGAACAGCTCAGCGTATCCAAAAAGCCTCAAATCGACGTCTGACAAACGGAAAACGAGAACCGTGCAGTCTGATGTGTGGATCTGATTCACTTTAAATCTGATGCTTGAAACAGTATTTTGTGGGAACAGAACACAGAAAGAGAATGTTGTTGGTTGAACAGATGCAGATATCGACCTCCTCTGTCCTCAGAAAATCCTTTCAATGAGCAAATCGAGTCGATGCTAAGAGTCTGAGACAAACATGCTCGGAACTGTTCTCCCTCTTTTTTAGGGCTAAAACATAGTTTTTCTAGGTTTTATTAATCAGTGTTTTCAGTGGACATAATAAAAACGATGAACTATAAGGACATAGTTGCACTTGGTCCACTGTGCAGCCAACAGAACCGAGCCTTGATTAACGGCTGCATAACGCCTTCATAATGATCACAGTAAACGGCTGCATTACACACACCTCTCCGGCGTGGACACTCATCTATAGTCCCGAGCTGAGCCTGTTGATTTCCACAGCAGCGTGTTCACTCTGGATCATTAGCGGCCGCACACATTCATTATTCATCCAAACTCACATTCTTTACATTCTCTGGTTTATTTTAAGCACCGCCATCGAGCAACGCCGGCGGCGAGCTGAGACACAGCATCAGAACCTGGACTACAGCATGCAAATCTCTCAGGAGGACAAACCCAAAGCTTCCTGCAGGACAGAACTTCACAGACATGTTTCTGTATTAAATGGTGAGTGTGCCTCACAGCGTGCCCAGAGGTCACTCACAGCCAACAGGCCACAGTCACAGTTTGCATGAACACAACTACTTTCTTCACCTCGGTCGGTTCCTCGGTTTATTTTCAGCTCCCTCCTGTTCTTTGTTTGTGTTTTTTCCAAATCAGCTGATTCTTCATCCCCATGTGTGTGTGTGTGTGTGTGTGTGTGTGTGTGCGCGCACATTGGAAAACTCATCTCACTGTTCCTGAATAATTGATGCCGTACAGCGTGAGACGAGGCCTTCGGCTGAACGGGGACGGAGGGAAGCTTCACCTTTAAAAATAGACGGTGTTCCGCCCGCTGCGCTCACACTTCGCTTTCCTTTTTAAAACGAGGCGTGACGCAATCTGTCATCGGCCCGGCCCGAGACAGTGCAATCGATACCGTGACCGTGAAGACGATCTATGCCTCGGCTTTGCTTCGTCATGGGGGGACAATTTAGGAAAGGCTCCACAAATAAGAAACTGAAAAGGATGTGCAGCCTTCTGCAGGAAGGTTCTGGGGTCAGAAGAAAGACTGATGAGGCTGTTTGGCCACAAAGAGCAGAAATAAGCTTAGAGGAGAGAAGATGAGGCCTTTGAACCCAAAAACACCTGCCAAGCACAGTGGTGGCAGCAACATAATGAAGGAGGAGGATTACCTCCACAAAGCCACCAGCCAGAAGGTTGATCTTGGATGTAACTGGTGTTTCAACAAGACCACGACCTCAAACACATGAAAAGTGGTAAAGAAACGGTTAAAGGACAGATCTCCTCAAAGTCCTGCTTCAACCATCAGGAAGCTGTGGACTGATGAAGAAACACAGATCTGTGACAGAAAGCCAACAAGTTTAGTTAAACTGCACCGACTCTGTCATGAGAAGAGTCACAGGATCAGCCAGAAGCTGGTGGACAGACATGTATGTTGCTGTATGAGTGTTTTTGACCCTGCAGATTCTGGTATGTTTCCATAAGACCTGTGTGACGGCCCAGTGTCAGCTGCTGCCGTGGAGGCCTAGAATCCGTTTACCTGTGGGTCCCTGAAGGCATCAGGACGGCCCATAAAGCTCAGCCATCCCCCTCTCGGTCTCCCTCTCATTCATTCTGACCCGACACGTCTTTCTCTGTCACCTTCTTGCTTCGTTTCTGCTCCACAACTCCTCACATCCCGTCATGTTCACTCATCCACACCCACACTACTGCTGACAGTCACACTGATTACTATGTGTTACATGGTTTGCTTTTGCTGATAACAAACATCCTTATTTTGAGTTAAATCTGCCAGATTGTTAAAACCCACGAGCCAGGCTATGAGACCTGTAATAAATCCATGACAGAAGCAAACTGCACGATTGTTTCTGGTGACAGAGATGAACGTGTTTCACGGATTACATCATAAAAGATTCAGAGTTACAGGAGTCATTGGAAAGTCAGCTCTGCTGTGATATATGTGGTCTTTATGAGTGTATTTAAACTTGACAGCGTATGGGTTACTTCCTCATCAAAGCTGAGCTCTAAAAACAACCTCAGACCGTTCTTCCATTTCTCTTCCACACAGCTGCTGAACAAGGAGTCTGAAACGCTCCACATTCACTCCTGCTGCTGGACAAACTCTCACGCATCTGAGAATGAAGCTGAAATGCATTAAACGGGCCGTCTGACCTCCGCAATCCGCAGGATGGAGTCTCCGTTAATGTCGAAGTTGGGTGAGTAGGTGATGCACAGCAGGACCTGCACACAGAACACAGACACACTCTGACATAAGGAGGAATTCATTATGATGTGATGAATGCTTCTGTTGTTAAGTCTCTGAACACGGAGCAGCTTCTGGGTTATCTGTCACATTTCTCCTCATTGCGGGATCATTTTTCACTGCAACATAAAGTCCTGCACCTCTGAGGAAGCAGCACAGTCACGGCTGGACGTAAAACACACTCAGAATGTCTTCGGTGCAGCGTGACGTCGTTATTATGCCGTAAATCAGAAAAGTTGAGTTTCTTTGGTTATTTACTTTAAAAAACTTGGACTCAACTTACAAAACATTTACTCCCAGCTGTTACCGACACTGGAAACATGGTGGCTCTCCATGCTACAGATATTTTACTGTTTACATCTATAACTAGGCTCCATACTTGTCTTCTGCCTATAAACACTGGCTGCAGTTCAGCTCTGAACATTTGTCACGTGACTGTTGGTCACAGCTGAGTCAGTCCGGTCAGGCAGAATCTGTTTGTGTTTTACTGAATCTGGGACGTTTATTTTTATTTGTGGTCCATTTCAAACACTTAGAATAAAGTGTTTTTAATGAAATATCACAATTTTATGCTCAAATCTGGTTCATTTTCCTGATCGCAAACCACGAAGAGCTCAACTGCTGATTCAAAAGCCAATGACTTTTTTCTGATTTCAAATTCTAGTTTTGATAAATTCTGTAATTCTGGCAGTTTTCTAATGATACGACGCCGTTCTGAGCCGGCAGCAGGTGTCGGGGTCAACAGCGTGGTAGAGCAGCTCAGGTAAATGACTTTTCTGATATACAGTCGTGGACGAGTCCTGGCACCACTGGACTTTTTTCAGACAACACCATCTCACACATCTTCTACACTCTAACTGGCTTCAGGTGTGGTTTCTATACTGACAGCACCTGTTACCTGCCACAGGTGAGTTTAAACGAGCATCACACGCCTGAAATAAAATGATTTACCCACAGTTTTAAAAGTGTGCCAACAACCTTGTCCGGCCCATTTTTGGAGTTTTGTGCAAAATTTTGTAAATTTTGTCTTTTTTTTCTGCTTTTTTGTGTTTTTCCACCGAACATAAAGGAAATAAACACGTTTGTACCACAAACACTGACAGCTGCAACCATTTCTGGGAGGAATGGTGGATTTTCTGGAAAACTCCAGGGGTGCCAAAACTTCTGTCCGTGACTCTAACTTAAACACAGTCATTCAATTCAATTCAATTTTATTTGTATAGCGCATATTTACAACAACAAGTCATCTCATAGCGCTTCACAAAGGCAGTCATCAGTATTGTGACAGAGTTGGTCAATATTGACTTAAACAAAACATCTAAGAGGCCAAATCATAGAAAACTATCACAGAAAAAGCTGCTATTTGGCTACCAGTGTTTAAATCCCAGCATGGTGCAGGAAAACACCAGAAAACAAATCAGTTCAGATTCAATCAGCTCAGAGTCTAGATGTTTAGGATATCAGATCAACATTTGAGTCGTTTTTTACCTTCATGACTTCCACCTGCAGGTCTTCATGGAGAGACGGGGTGACTCTGATGGCCTCCAACATCTGGCTGAGCAGCTGCTTCTCCAGCACCTCCACCTCCACGCCGACGCCACCCACAAACCTGTCCTCACACAGGAGCTTCTGGACGGAGAGAGGAGAGAGTTTCAGCTTCTGCTTCCCACCTTAAAGCCGGCGTCTGTGCAGAAGAATCACACTTCTGTTGGCTGTACCGTCCAGTACCTGCATGCCGGTGAGCGCAGTCTGTCCCAGTTTGGTGTTCTTGGACTCCAGAGCCATCTGCAGAGGCAGCAGGCAGCGTTCTCTGGAGAAACACAAAGAGGCTGTTGAGTCACACAACCGCTGCTTTCTTCCATTCAGCCGACACAATCAGCCACAACAGAAAAGAACCGCGCACAGAAATCTGTACCAATCAGATTTAAAGTGATTGTAAAGAACTGCAGCTTATAATAAACCAGAATCACGTCTACAAACGTCTCTGGAGTGTTTCTGAAAAACACAATAGGACAGCAGCATCTGATAAGCGCTGCTCAAGTCTGTGAGAGCTTCTGTTGACCGGCGACGGCAGAATTTAATCGGAAGCGAGATGCTGGAGATACGAAGCACAATATGAGAAAGTCTACGTGTTGACCTGCGTGGTGTCTTCCAGATCCTCGTCGCTCTGCTTCGTTCTCTGCAGCATCTCATCACAGCTGAGTGGGAAACGATCTACCTCAGCTTCTCTCGTCTGTTTCTCAGATTTAATCAAGTCCCACGGAGCTCCTCTAATCAAGGTCTGAGATAGGGATCTGCATCTCTGTCTCTCTCCCAGGTTTTCCCTCTTTTATCTCTACTTCTGGGTATCACAGTCTCAAGCGCAAATATGCTTTCGCAGAACGAGTGGGAGAAAGAAACCTCCTGTACGCCGCTGAAGTGATGCATTATAGAGGCTGGAGCAAACAGCCGGCAGCTCGGTGGCGTCGCTGCAGCGGAGTCTGGCTGAGAGAGGAGGCTAGAAAGACGGTTAGCGCTTTGACAGGTGTCACGGCGGATAGCTCGTCCCTTTATTCTGGAGTTTAATGGTTTAAATTGAGCGGAGGACAGCAGCTCCTGGCTAAAAGGTCCCATATGGAGGAAATACATTCATTACTGAGTTTTTGTAAACTTGTAAAGTAAAAGCTGTGAGAGCATGACGACCTCTACTCCTCCTATTACTTTACTTAAAACCAACTCAAAGGCCTGAGTGGGTCAACGGGTGTTCACGTCACCTGTCTGTTGTCTTCATGCAGTTTACATGTTCCTTCCTGTGACTGTTTTTATTCTTACTTGAGTATTTTGAGTATCTGAAATTAAGTGATTTCTTGTAAACACCTAACACATGATGCAAAACAACTGCTAAAGACACACGCGTGAACTCTCTACGTAGCGCTGGAGTGTAGAGTCGGATCATTTGTTCAGGATCAGTGATGCAGGAGTCGACTTTGCATGTGACACTACAGAAGCCAGAGAGCATTAACCTCAGCGGTTCTCTTGCTCGGTGGTGAATTACTAGTCGTGCAAACGCGTCTCCCCTGGAAACCAGAAACTGCAGAGCAGCTCGGCCTCCATGTTTAGTTTTGCTCAGGACGATGCGATAAAGAAAAGGTGCATTTATTCTGTACTGATCCTCTGCAGGAACCGTTTTATACCAAGAAGTTGTACAAACGTTCATCAGAGACGATTAGGACTGTTTCTGGTGAACAGAACCAAACCGTCTCCCTTCAGTACAACACACTGACAAATAAGGTTTCCTCATGTTCTGAGTGTATGACAGCAGGTAACTTAGTCCACATACAACTTGTTTAGATGAACTCGGGTGTGTTTGCAGCGTTCCTACGGTTCGTCTGTGCTGCTGTGAAAGCTGCAGCCCCTCAGCCGACAATACAACAGATTCTTTTTTTCATATTTTCTGACATTTTTTGAATCATTCAGATTCTGCACAGTTTCCAGCGACGTGTCCGACTGACAGCACGTTCTTTCCTGCTTCACACAGACTGTAATCTGAGGTGACGGCAGCGTTTTTGCTTTTAGAATCGGCTGATTTACTGAACTAAATGAAAGAATAACTTAATTCAATTAAACAGAACATTTCTTGGCGACCAGACCCGTCGCTGAACGCTGCAGTTTTAGAGTCTGTCCTGTTACGTAACCACAGAGCTCCACTTGTTTCTTTGCTCGTCCTGCTCCGTGCTTTCCACTCGCTCGCTCTCTATCTCGCTCTGATTATTTGCGGTCGGTTGAGTCACCGTCTCTGCTGCTGATAACAGACCACCGGACTTCCATCTCTGAGCTCTCAGGCTGCTCCGAGCTGCCACGACTCCACTGTTTCAAATGGGCTGCAGGGAGACGCCACCGGCACGGCGGTTCCCAAGATACTCAGTAAACTCACAGCAACACCTGAGAAGCCACAACGTCAATGCAGACAGAGACGGCATGCTGAGTCCCCAAAGAAACTAAATCAGAACAAGAATGCTCAGAGATGTTCCCAAAAACATCCCAAAACTAAATGTATGAATTCACTCCTGTTTGACTGAATGATGCACGTTCTCAATCAGAAGCATCATCAGGAACAGCTCTATGTTCGGTGTCGTCTTTGTTTGAGCTCATTGTGTAATAAGAGAGCCGGAGACAGAGGAGCACGCCGGCTGACAATCCTTGCACCCTGATACAAAGACATTATCATCAATATTTAATCTAATATTCTCTAATAAAACAACAGAGGTCACTGGATGAATAATTCATGGTGCGTTTGAGCTGCAACAGCATCCAGAATTTACGGCACCGTCATCAACAGTCCGACGTCCAGCAGCAGCAGCAGCAGCTCGTCCTTCACTTCACGTCTTACACTTTATTCCAACAAACAAACAGCTGCAGGAATCAGGCGGTTGCTCCTGTAATGAGGAACTACGACGGTGCAGCAGCTAATATAGACTTTAAAGTTGAAGTACAGCTTCTGGCAGCCATGTTGGAACTCCACAGCAGCTCTGGCTGCGTTCCCTGTGAACAGCTGTCTGCATTTTAAATGTCCAACCAGCTTTCCTCATGATGACTTCATGTATAATGAGCAGAAAGGGCAGGACGCCGGGAACAGCAACACCTGTAAAACGTGAAGGTCCCATATGGTGAAAACCCATTTATCTGGGTTTTGTGGCTGTTAAAGAACTGTGAGGGTATGAGGGCAGTTATTCCTCCTCTCCTCAGATCCCTCCACGACTACACGGACTCCCGGCTTCACCAGTCAGTCAGAACTACACCGAACTGCTAGAAATGTGCATAATTCTGCCCCCTCACAGCCTGCTGCTCCCGGGGGAACCACTCAGGATGAACCTTTTTTAATTTACTTTGCAGAGCTGCTTCTGCTAAAGTTCACCAGAAGTTCTGCTGCAAGAGTGAACACAACAGTCTTCACGCACTGCCAGCATCTGAGGAGCTGAACACCCAGTGGACACCACCGATCAGGGACTGGCTGGTTACTGAGTGTTTATTTGGCTTCAGTTCAACCTAAACTCTGCTGCTATTAGCTTCTCTCCTGCTCTCTGTGCTCATGTGTTTCTGTTGACAGACAGCAGAACGAGGATGAAACAGTGACTGAAACGCTGCTTATTAACACCCCGTTAGCCATCAGTCACTTCAGAGGCGTGTCAAGCTGCTGCTCTGCTGCTAAAATACGGATTTTATAACGTTACCCGACAAACTGACCAAACACGCGAGTTAAAAACATTCCTGTAAAATAATCTCTGAGTTGTTAATGATGAACATTCAGAGAGTTTTCTTCCTGAAGCTGCATTTAAAAGGTACAGACACATTTATAAAAACACATTCAAATGAAAGTAAAAGGCCTTTATGGACTCATGTTGTCGAGGTTTGAGTCCACAGCAAATTATCGCCAAACACCCGACACAAACCTACAAAATGATCCCACGTTAGTGTTTGTTACTCGGCTGGTGCATTCACCTGCACAATCCTGGAAGCGACGGCTTCATGGCTCAGGGGCCTCGTCCTGAGTTTAACTCCAACATTTGCATTATCAGCCCCGGTTCTGGAGGTTCATTAACGTAGTCAAATCAAACTGGAGGTGTGTGAGCCGGAGCAGTTAGAATACATTCAGTTATCAGGTTCCTGCAGTAAAGTGGCTGGAAGGCGAAGCTGACGTCCTGCTTCATTCACGTGTTCCACGTGTTCTCATCAACATCATCTGATCATCGTTTTAGATTCTATGCAGTCAGCTTCACTTTCTCTGTGCAGCTCAACCGCTGCTAACTCAACCGCTGCTAACTCAACCGTTTGCTGAGAAAAACCGGCTCGTGATCAACCTGAAGCAACATCCTGACTCTAGGCTTTAGTGGACTGATGCTGTCCATGTGTTCGGCTCCATTTACTGGATTTGATTTCAGTGCCACTGTATAATTCATTGTTCTAACTTAACTTTATTTATTTCACAGAAATCTACTTTTGTGAAGCTCTAATCTGCTCCCACTGACCAAGCAAAGGCGGCTGTAGTTAAAGCTGTGTGGTGTAAGGCAGAAAGTGGAACATGTTGTTCATGCTAAGAATAGTTAAATTCATAAAGAAGACTTCCACTAAACGGGCGATCGGTCGGTACAGCTTCCAGTTCGGATGATCAACCCCACAGATCCTGACTGGGGCATCTATAGTTGTTTTGTTTTCTATTTCAGCGATTAAAAAAAGTTTTGGCTTCATGCTGTCGACGCTCCGAGTCTTCTGAACAGAGTTTGAATCAAACAGAATCGGTGGACGTTGACTTACCGGAGCTGTGAAGCGGAGATCTTGGCTGATCCATTCTGAGACTCGAGGGTTTCTGTGGTTCAGTGGAACAGAGGAAAGGAGAAGATGTGATTGTTAACACAAAAAATCATAAAGTTATGCTGCAAAGTCTGTCTGTGGAGCTCAGAAACTTCACTTCCTGTGGTCTAAGAAATACCTGGTTTCCCCTCACAAGCCTGTTCAGCACATTGAATCCTTAAAAAGGCCAAAAACCTACAAAACAACCGTCCAACATCTGGTACTTGACGTCCCTCTCTGCCTTAGAGCTCCACCTCTCTGTCTACAAACACATCAACAAGGTTCAGGCAGAAAAACTCACAGCAGATGAAAACCAGAAACTGTTCCTGTGTCACCTGTTGGAGCAGCTGCATGAAAAAACCACAGCAGGAACACAGAAGCTTTACAGAACAGAAAAGTCTGAGCTTGTGGCTCAGTTTTAAACGTCTGCATCTTCAGTGGGAACTACCAGAAACATGCAGAATAAACGTGGACTTTATGAACGTATCACACATCTGGCTCATCGCCTCGTCTTCAGGGCGTCATACGTCACACTGGCTTCACACTTTGAACTGAAAGTCGTGCTCAGATTTCTGCAACAGCATAAATCTCCTGCACACGCCATCATGCTTCATACGTGTTCAGGGTTTACTGTGCAGCAGCCTTGACTCTGTGTGAAGGCCTCCTTCATGTTTCACCGTGATTAGAAACGGCACATCGGTCCATGTCACGGGCGTGTCTCCGTAGATTTACAGGTAGGCTGAAAAAAAACCCAAAACATACCTACAACATACCTACAACATACCTACAACATACCTAAAAACATACAGTGATATGTTGTCTTTTATAAATTTGTGGGTTAAAAAAAAAATCTGTAAAACAAAACAATGAAAATCTGGCAGCAAGTGCAACAGAAAATAAAAAAAAATACTAGAACTACAAAACTGTCCAAATAGAAAACATAACGGACAATATATCTGTAAAATAATCATGCTTCTAATGGATTAAAATACAGCCACATGTTTGGCTGGTTCTCTCTACAGTCAATATGTGATTTAATAGTTTTTTTTAAATGACTTTACTTGATTTTATCTGTAACTTAACAAACAGGACAAATCTGTAAAGTCATGGTTAGAAATAATTTACCATTTTTCAAGCCTTGATAAAATTATTTCTTCTTTCAAATATTGACAAATGTCTGTGTTTTTTATTTGTTTTTTTTATTAATCTAAATACAGAAATAATAATGTAGTGTTTATTATATCTGGTAAACTAACAAATAACATCAACAATAAATCCAGGTTTCATGAGCAGACTATTTACAGTTTTGACCCGTTTCTTTTTTTTTTTCCAATAATCTTTTTAAATGTTAAATAATTTAAATAATCTAATTTAAATAATCTAGATCAATATTTAATATGCTAATATTTTTCTGTGCTTTCAGTAGTTTTTATCTGTAATTTAATAATGCAGGAAAAATCTGCAAAATGGCAGCAAACTGTACAAAAACATTACAGATAAAAACTGTTAAAAACGTTATTTTTAAATAGTTTTGTCCAGAAGCCTTGAAGGTGTGCGGTCCACTTGGGACGTCCGTTCAGGTCACTACACGCCCTTGGACGGTGTGTGTGCATAAATAAAGTGTGTGTGTTACACGATTCTCCTCCATCAGCACAACCTGAAGCCATTCTTCACCTGCTGTCTGACTGAGCCTCGCCAAAGGTCAGGCCGGCCCATCTCGCCTGTTCATACTAATACTATTCCAGTGACGTCAGTGGAAAGTGTTTCTTTCTCCACATGCTTGAACGCTGCTTCATATATTTTCTGTGTGATTGTTTCTTATCTGTCGCTGGAGGAGGAAGCACTGAACTGTGCAGACAGACGGTAATGAGACTCACAAAAGGGTTTTTCCTCCAAGTCTGGGAGCCTCTTGTTGCTGAACAGGTTCTTAATGGTTTTCACATTTGCAGGGCTGATACAGCACCGAGCCTCGTTTTAATTCAGACACACGCAGAGAGCTGATGAGTCAGCAAAAAGTTCCGTGTTTGATTCCACATGCTGTCACTGTGTTTGTCTTCTCATAGGCTGTAATGTAAATGTGTCCTGTTTGCATGTGGCTCCAACGTTTAGCAGCAAAGCACAAGCTGAGCTACGCAGTGAGCTGCCTCATGCATGATCTCATCATAGCGCGGCCGCCTGTAAAGCTGCTGTCATCACAGCGGCTCTAAATTATACATACAGCTCTGAGCTCCACGTTATTAAACCCGAGAAACACTCCTGCAGCTCGTCTCAGAAGCACATTGATATTAAAATGTGATGTTCTTCTCATTGTTAATGCTCTCTTTAATATAAAGCTTTGGCCAGAGGAGACGTAAACATCTGCAGGTGGTTCAGGGTGAAGTCATTTCTCTGGTTCAGGCTGTTTTCAGGGATGTTTGTACTGAAGCACAGCAAAAGTCTCTAAACAGAATCATAACGGCACGTTGTGGAAGAGAAAATCTGCTTAAATAAAGTTCAGTTCAGTTTTAATACAAAACACAAATTAATAAAGTTTGTTCTGGTGTTTTATAAGATGATCTTTGTCATTTAATAAAACTCATGTTGACATTTAATATTAAATATGAACCAAGTGACAGCAACTGTCTTTAATATTATATATATATATGTTTTGCAGATTTAAATACAGCAGAAAATAAAGTCATTTTACTGTCAAAACCTTGTAAACGGGTTCATTAGCATTTGAAAAACTAGAGGTTTTTGATGTTGGCATTATTTACAATTTTAGCCTGTTTTTATTTTTTACAGTTTACACGTCAGTTCCGTTATTTCACTGCATATTTTCTGTTTTTCAATTAAGCTGGAAAATCAGTAAATTAACAGCAAACTGATAAAAACATTATAGTTTCATTTGTTAGCCAGCATTCATTTATTATTATTGATGTTGTTGTTGTTGTTGTTGTTGTTGTTGTTGTTGTTGTTTCTATTGTCCATTATTCTGTGAACCATTTCCTCCATTAATCAATTAACTGTTTGGTCTATAAAGAAATGGTAAAAAGTCAAGTGAAATAAAAAAAAAAAGCTGGTTTCCCATAAAGATAATTAGTTTAATGTCAAAGAGGAAGACACTGGAAATAATCTAAAGTACAGAGCTGCAATCACACACCTGTGACTCGACTTTTGTTGTTGTTGTTGTTGTTGTTTTTTAAGGATAAATCAAAAATGCTGCCTAATTTACTGATGAATGAAGTATTGCAGCTTTAACATGTAAATAAATGGGATGAAGCTGAACAGTGTAGAAACTGAGGTGCTGCTCATTTCAAACATTTCGGTTCTGAGCAGCTGATCCGTGACCAGCAGCAGCATGGAGAGCATTTACTAACCCTGAGCTGGTGAATGCCGCTGATTTACTCCTATTTTATTATTATTATTATGTATGTATGTATGTGGACACCGGTGCAGGCCTGTGGGATGGAGCACCAGCTGCTGCTTCCCCGCAGGTGAGCGGCTCCATCCGTCCGGACCGGGGGCTGCTCGGGACTCACCGCAGGCGAACACGCAGGCGTCGCGGATGCCTTTGTGCTTGTGTCCGGACGCTTCTTTCTGCAGCTTTCGCAGGATTTCCTCCATGCTGCCCCCGGAGCTGACGGACCTGGCGGAGCGGAGCGGAGGCGCAGCCCGGACCGGCTGGCTGGGCGGCGGCGTGCGGGCTCGGCTGCGCTGTTTTAAGGGCGCAGCGACGGCGACAGCATCCCCGGACCCCCCGGATGGAGGCGATGATTCACCGCCGCTGATGTCAGGCCGGCCCGTCGATCCGAGGAGGAAGCGGCGGTGCAGGGCTCATAAATCCCCGGCTGCGGCCTCCAGGAGCGACGACGGACACACCTGACGGATAATCACAGGCTGTCAGCCGAGCAGCGGGGGATAAATCCGCTCAATAAGCGCCCTTCGCTCATCTTCGTCAGCCGCTTCTTCCTCGTCAGAGTCCGGTCCAGCTGATGCCTGCGCTCCTCCCGGAGACCAGATCCGTTTCTGTCGATCCGCCAGGAAAACGCCTCGGCGGCTGCGTGAGAAGAGCCTCCGCTCCCCCGTTAGAAGGAGGGTTTCTGTCCAACCTGGCAACACACTATTTACTCCGCGTCTCCGGGGGAAGCTGGAAACTGCGGCCGGGGTGCGGAGGGAGGAGCCGGAGCAGGATGTGCTGTGTCAGAGCGGCGACAGATGGAGCTGAGCGGCGGCTCCAGCACGACCAGCTCCTCGCTGTCTCATTTAAATGTTTAAAAACGTGATTCATGTTCACAAATTAGCCTGCTAGCTGCTAGCTCCGGGACCTAGCATGATGGATGCTAGTGCTATGAGCATGCTAACATGCTAACACTGCTGTGAATGGGTGTTAGCATCACAACATTAGCATGCTGTATGCTAACTAACGGCTAAATAAACACGGTTCTGAGTAACTTCTGGTTATTTGTAGTATATCAGGTTTAACAGAAATGATGATGACACATGTACACAACTCATTTAAATATTAAGACCAAACAATATGATATGAAATAGAAAAGTCTGACTCAGTAGAAGAGTTCAGGCCCGACAGTGAGATTTCTTTTATGTACATTTGCTGGATGTGCAGCAGTGAGAGCGCCAAGTTACCACAATTAATAAAATAAAAGAATAATGAAATAAAAGTGGAAAGAAAAAGAAGAATAAACAAAATATAAAATAAATCATGTGGCAATATACAGCTATATTAATTTTTAAAAAAATGAATCCATAAAAGAAAAGGCTGATAAAAGTAGAAATATAAAGACAAATAAATAAATAATAAAACAAAATAATATTTTTGTTATTTATATTATTTCATTTTTTTGTTGTTTTTAAAAATATTTATTTTTATTTATTTTTTTAAGTTACCTGACTAAATTAAATAAAACACTACTGACCTTATTGTATATAACAGAATTTGCATTACTGAATTTGATATTCACGTAAAGACTTGACTCATTTCCATAATATTCAGCTTAAGACCCGACAATAATAATGAGCCATGTGACAAAATTAAATAAGGTTAAAACCGACAATATTAAGAAATAAGCAAACTGACCTGACTAAATCAGATATGAAGGTTAATTTACCGGGGAAGTCTGAATATAAATGTCATAATATAACATCCTACAACATCATATATAACACAAATGACACATAACATAGATAAAACAATAACCTCTGAGTGTAGTCTACCTTATTTCAGTTCAACCCATCCACACGTTTCCAACATATCTGTGATCAGACCGAACGCTGAACATCATCACCTCATTACCAACCAGTTACTGACATGACTGAAGTCTGAGTTCTTATCATACACCACACGTGCAGCTCTGACACATCTTCAGTGATGCATCGTGAGGTCATTGGGTGTTTCGTAGCATCACACACCCTCTGCCAGGCGACCCAGCCAGGGTTGATCAGGCTCCGACTTGTGTCTGAGAAGCTTGTGTTGTCCACGGATCACCCCGCTTGATCCACAGCCATCGTGATGCCTTTTCAGCGGCGTCTGTGATGTTCCTGATGGCCTTCCGAGTGTGCAGTCCCTTTACCTGGACCATCTTGAGGGCCCTGATGAGGGACTGGCCAACCCCAGCTCAGCGGGGTTGCACCAGGTCCTCCAGCCTTTGCTTCGGCATTCACCTGCCAGCTCCTCATACTTGGCCCTCTTCTTCTTGAAGGCCTCCTCCATCCAGTCTTCCCAGGGAACAGTCAGTTTCAGCAGGACCACTTGTCTTGATGTTTCAGACACCAGGACGATGTCTGGCCTGAGCGTGGTCACTGCAGTGCGCTCTAAACGTGACTTGTAAAGAACGATGTGACAGTCAGGACAGCAGCTACTGAAGTGAGATGGAAAAGCCTCCTGAGGGATTCACACCGTCTGTGTGTGTTTTAGAGCTTGATGATACTCGTGCTTGATCATGAGATGTTGTTTTATTGGTTGGTTCTAATTACGGGCTCGACGGTTCAGTTGATCAAGAGTTCATGACAAAAGGATTTCCAACGAGAACACGAGCCTCCAAACAGCTTAATGTTCTGGATAAACAATCTGTGGCTCCGCCGGTGGGACGGAGGTCGTTGATATTCACTCGTTTATGCATTCATTTATTCAGCATGCGACGGGGCAATGAAAGAATACAGCAACTCATAAGAACAGATAAAACACTAATGCATAAATCACCGACGGAGGGTGAAAAACACACGAAAAGGTCATTACATTTCATCTCAGCAGGTGTGTAAAGGCTGAGATGATGAAGTGAGGCCTGCACAGAGCATGACTGTGAGCAGCATCAGCAAAGGTTGGTTTTAATTATGGAATTAATCAGATTATTGCAAAGACAACAATCAGTAAAGACGCCTGTTTGTTTCTGAAGTTTTTAAGAGTTAAAATGTAGATAAATGTCCGAGAATCACACATGACAACATGTCCGTATGATTCAGTGTGTGGAGTCACAGTTGGTCTCACGTTCTGGCTCAGAAGGTGTTTACACTGTAATAGATTACTATGAAGAACCAGCCTGCTCTATAGCAGTGCACTGTGTCTCCAGAACACAACAAAACCTGTAAAATCAGAGTCAAGAACAAGCTGCTGTGTCGACCGAGTGCAAAAACGAGACACAAAACAACACGAACAAGACATGAAACAACAAAAAATACACAAAATGACGAATAAGACATAAAACACTCGATACAGAACAACACTAATGAGACACACAACAATAAAACGAGACACAAAACAGCACGAACAAGACATGACATGACAAAGAAAACACACAAACAACACAGACGAGGTGTAAAACAACAGAAACCAGTTGCAAAACAAGACAAACGACAAACAATAAAATGAGAAAAGTGACTCAGAGCCTTTTCAAAGATGCTTCGGGGCCCAAAATCATCTACAAATAATCGTTTCTGAGGATAAAGTTCATGGTCCAGTTGTGTTACTGCCACCATCAGGAAGGAAACACAAACTAGCAGCTGCTGCTGAGAGACGACTGGTCAGGATGGTCAAGAG